AAAAAAAAAAAAAAAAAAAAAAAGGAGGTTAAATAAGAATCATGAAAAATATGCCCCTTGGAGGAGTCTTAAAAATATTTAATTTGTCAGAGGGCAAATAATTGGCACGATTAGTCACGCTGCTTAATAAACGTAACGGAGAGAAAGATCCAATATTACATAAAGGGAGCGAAGTCCGTACCGCGTAGGCTTTACCTTTATAAGCGGACGTAGCTGCCCGGTAGATCGGCTTACCTTAATAAGCATAGGTCGAGTGTTATACGGAGACCCACTAGGGAGAGCCAGCTCCTTCTCCTCGAGGGTGTTCTCCGTGTAGACGGTGCCTACGGCGAGCTTGGGGCGTTTCCATGACGCTCGCTGTGCTCGTGAGCGAGCCGATGAAAAAACGCGCGGAGATGTAATGAAACATTCTTAGCTTTTATTGGCATCGGTAAAAGTAGGTACATTGATTTGAGTGAGAGTCGCTCAGGTTAAGGGGTACCCGTTATATCTCTATTTATATAGGAATTGATATACCCGTAGGTATGTCGAGAGGATTTATTTCCATGGACACGTTACATCGTAAAAGATATATTACCATGGGAAATGACATTACGAGAATCGATCGGGAAATAAAGGAATATATTTTTCACGTGGCCCGTATGGTACGTAAATACTAATTGCGGATAACGAAAGGTGGCAAACGATCTTTCGGTATCCGTGATGCTTGCGCATGAATTTTATATAATCTCTTGGAATTTTTTTTCTCTTTAATCTTTATTATCATTATCATCGCCCTCGTCGTCATTTATTTACAAAATGCTGTTGTTTTTTTTCCCCCCCACTTTTCTTCGTAATAATCTCTACATTTTTATTCTGCCTCTTTTTTTTTGTCTTTTTGTTCACCCTCACACGCTACTCGCTATCGATCATATACTTTTTATCATTATATTAATATTAATAATGTTCATTCTCTAACGTTACGTAGATTTATATATATAACATCGCCTCGAAACCTTAGAAATTCGTTGGCACGATGAGAACAACGTAACCCTAACCTATATACCGTCTCCAGTTGGTGACCGTATTTTTGTTTGTAGGTATTATTTACATATTTCCTGTGGGTGTGCGCGCGTTTTCTTTTTACCCCCCTCTCTCTCTCTCTCGCTCAATATCCACTCCTCTCACTCCCACTCTCGTTATCCTTCCATGATTATACTCTCGCTATCACAGAGCGCGAGTCTTTCTTTCTTTCCGATGTCCATCGGGCTTGTAAGCGTGATGCAATCCACGTGTAAATTCACGTGGATTGTAACACGTTCGTCATCCCTCTCAATCCCGACGAACATCCCTTAAAATGTTTATCCAGGCAAGAAAATATAAATCCGAGTTCGATCGACTCGATCTTACAATATACAGGGTTACTCAAGAACATTGGCACCAACTGAAATTAACACGTCTATTTTCCATCTTCGCGACGGAGTCTCCCTCGGCTGATGCACTCATCTTGTCTATCCCTGTATACCTACTGTATACGCGGCTTTTCCTGTCCTATAAATATGTACAGGTTAGACCTACTGTATCTTCGTTTCTATGACTCCGATTGGATCGCACGATTGTTTTTATTTATTGACACGCAGCCGATCGATTTTTCTTTACACATTCGATTTTCATGCGATTTCTGTAAATTCGCGAGTTCCTTCCTTTCGGAGCTCAATCGGAAACGCAAAGGAGACCGAAACCTCCTTTTTCGTATGTCGTGATAAATTTTTTTAGACTTTACACACATTTCTACCCTACGCCATTGGCTCGCTATTAATTATCGTAAACTGATTTTCGCGTATTTTCAATTTTACCGCCATTTCGCGGCACCCGTTGCCTCTAGATTCACGGACAAAGCTTGTCCCGCGATTAGGAATTTTTATCGGCTACGTTGAATACTTGCGTTGATCATAGGACAAATAAAAAAAAAAGTTGAATATTTGCATCATCCATCATAGGATAAATAAAAACCACTCGCGAGAAAAACTCAGCGAATTCAGGACTAAATCTAGTTAAACCGCTAAAATTCTATTTACAGTTTCCGGTTGAGCTTGCCGATGCGCCACGATAAAATTTCATACCAAGCACGTCTATATCGACGAGACACGTCAGTGGCATAATAAAAAGTACTTCGTCCCAGATAAAAAACATTTTTTCCCAGCAAATTAACCGTAAGACAATTTAACTGTTACGTAACAAGCACAACGATACGTAACAATAATTACGCGATACTTCAACGAACAAAGTATTTCAAGACAGTCTGTGAAATCGGTTATATAAAAAAAAAAAAAAAAACATACATTTACATTTTTCTCTTAACACGTATGAAATAACAATTATACGTGGCCGTGTCGCAATTTTACAGATCGTCCTTAATGTATACGTATACGCGTTCCCGTAGCGCTATCGCGTACGCAATATCTTTGGTGCACCGTGGTACCGCCGCCAATGAAAATCCACAGGAGGAGAAACGCAAGAACCTCCGCGGACAAAACGTAAGCCGATTTCCAGCGACGTGAATCCTCGAGCGTACGATAGGCCCTAAGGGCTGTCATCGGGTATGGCGTACCAGGCAGCCGGATCCGCGGCGAGGGCCCATGGGCCGGCGACGGAGGGATTGGCGTAGGCCGCGGCCCCCGCCGCGGATGGCGCGCACTACCAAGCCCTACCCTGTAGCGGAAGGTAAGCGCCGCATTGGGGTTGCTGCTGTTGCTGCATGCCCTGCTGAGCCCCGGTCCTGGTATAGGAGCAATGCTGAAGGCTCTGGCTGGAGGTCATCACGTGGCTGACACCAACGACGGAGTGATGCGAGACCGCAGCGGCGTGATGGGAACCATGAGGACTGGATGCTGCGGTCATATGGGGTGCTGGACTAGCGAGGGCTGCACTTGGACCACCGCGACTGCCCTCGTTGCCGCCACCCCCGCCACTGCCGCAAGGCTTGCCATCCTTCACCAGTACCGGTACTGCCACGCGTCTTGGTGAGCTCGCACTCTGTAAGACAGCAACAAAAAATTTCATAATTATCACGGAATTTTTTAATTACAAAAAATTTTTTCATCCTACTACAGATATATTACGACCTTTTCTAATCTCCGTATTCTCATACTCCGTACGGTAGGACGTGAAGATGAACTCTAGCACGTTATACGTGGGAGAGTCCAGAATCAACAGTGTACCTGGTAAACAGGTTCCTATAAGGGCACAGGGTATATGTACGTACCTACGTGAGCCGTATGATGTAGATACCTGGAGGAACTACTCCTAAGGAGTTGGAAATAAATATATGTGGCTACCGTCGGCCACGTTCTTGTTCTACCAACATGCACTTTTTCGTTACTCCTTTTGCCGTGGATTTTTAGTGCGTATGTTATATATATGGTTTATATATATATATATACACATATAACGATGATATATATATATATATATATATATGCGACTCCCTGGTCGTAGCCGGTATGCCAAACAGAAGCCGAGCAAACCGAGTATACCTGCCGGGTCGACCACTCAGCTGTATCAACATGGAGTACACGACATTCCTCTTCGATCTCTTCACCGGTGCGTTTTTAATAATAACCAACTCGAAAGCAAGCCGGGACTCATAGGTACCGATCGTCGGCTCTATTCGGATAAGCGGATCGCGTGATCCTATGATCGGGGGTACGGAGCTTCGGTGAAAGATTCTAATGGTCAATAATAATGCATCCTGTCAATATCCATACGCAATGGTAAGGTTGTATGTCCATAATGGTGTAAAATCTAGTTCTTATTTGACCGTACAGTACAGATCAGTAAAGGTAAGACTGATCGGAGGGAAGAAACAAACGGCGTGGAGTTGCGCTAAGCTTGGCCTAGGAGTAAGTGCAGGCATGCGGTGCACTTCAGGATGACAAGGCGATGATTGCGCTAAACGCATGACAAGCAGAAGCCCGCGCGCGCGTCACGCGTCACGCCACTTTAGCCACTTGAACGCGCGTTAAACGATTTCCGGCGAAAATGGCCACGATGGAGTATGTGTTTATGGGCCGGGGACCGGGGACGCCTGTCGCGAGATTGCAAAATCGACGGAGAGGACGTGCATGGGTGTTGGACATACAGAAAGTGACATTACCGACGGAGAGAGATAGGAGCACGATCTTGATAGAGGCTCGAACCCGATTTGTAGGTTAGGTCGAAGCGACGGTAAGGGATTTTTGTCTCTATGTTCCGTTGAACATTTCTTCTTTTCTTTTTCAAGAAAAGTAACGTCTCTCGGACGGATGATGTAATTACAGCGATACCGGTGCGGTTAGCCGGCTGAAGTAGGTACCCGAGTAAAACAGTTATCATGAAAATTGATGTAATTAACTAAAAGCGTTCTTTGAGCCAGAGGAAGGAACCCTGGACAAAGAAGAGCGGAGATATTAAAAGATTCTTTCTCGGTATTTCTCATCCCTCCTTTACAGGTATACACCTCATTCCTCCTTCACTCTTCACTTTCTCCCGATCTCCTTCCTCCCGGATTCTCCGGAACCGCCAAAAGAATTAAATGCTTTTACAGGGAGCGTCGCTTACCATCGTCACTTGGCCCAAGGTATACGGCCTTTTGAAATCTGACCGTGAAAACATCGACAAGAATTTAATGACATTCGAGTACCGATCTTATCAGCCTTATTCACCCGCAAATAAAATGACGATTCGACGTAATTAGGTAAAATTTAATGTTATGAAAATCCAGAAATTTTCAGGTAATTTCGCAGTCTCTTTCGAACGTCAAATTACAGGCGAAATCCAAAAGGGATATCTACGTAAAGAAACGGGATAGGAATCGGTCTATTGGCACCCTCGACACTCGCCAGGTGCTGGGGATGACTGTACCTCTCGGCAAGATGGCGACCGGCCCTCGAGAGGCCGTTTCCGCGCTCCCCTGCAAGCTCCCGCTCGCTCGTTCGTTCGTTCGCTCGGGCACTTGAGATTTTTTACCGCCACGAGGGGGAAAATGGAATAAAACGAAAAAGGGAAAAATCTGAGCACGGTTGCTGCTGCCGCTCTTCGCTGCATGCCTCCCTGGCTGGCTGGCTGGCTGGCTGGCTGACTGTCTACCTAGATGTGCCTAGCTCGAATGGTTCGCTGGCTGACTGGATGCTTGGGTTGGTAGTCGGTAGACTTTTCTCCAAGCCGCGCGATATTTAAACGTGATATAAAGATGGACGCGTGTATGCCTCTCCGAGTATCTACCTATACGTACCTAATATATATATATATATACCCTCTTCTGCCGTAGAAAAGCCCAGTACTCGTAAATCGTTCCCGGGCACCGCTCATACGTGTAATGACGATCCATGGGCATTCGGGTCAATGATTTCACTAAAACTTTGAACGCGTCGCCTCTACCTAACCTCTTTACCAGCCACTTCGTCCCAAGCTACCGTCGTACCCATAATGCATCAAGATACCCACTCCGGTTATTTGGTATAGCGTGAAAAACGTTTAATGCTCGACAATGATTCAGCTATAGCAAAACGTCGTATCTTATGCCCGATACGTAACGAGCTACGTATATACCTGCCTCCGTTCAGCCAAGTAACCTACCTAGAGGTATGTCTGTTTGGTACAACGTTATTTCGTACCAGTCAATGTACAATGAGAACCAGCCCAGAGCCAGGATCCCGATCGCACGTATCAACGAACCCGATCAAGATTAAAACGAAGACACGTAAACAAAGCGTGCCAAACGGAATTGAAATTGAGCCGCAAAACGGAGGCCACCCGCCCCGTCGGGCTCGAAGTAACGAGAAAATTATGGGGGGACTGCCGCTACGCGCTAGTTCGCCCCAAGGGAACGTAGATCGGGCCGTAGATACTTTTCAGCCCCATTAAAGTTCTATGGTGTTTACGAGCTGCTTACCCGTGACAATATCCGTTTCATTGTTGCGCCATTATAGCTACGATCGATCCTGCCGTATCTCGGCATGTCAAACGGACTTGCCGAATCTCTCTATACACACCTCGAGCAGTATCATTTATACGTATAATATCCATAAAGCGATTCTCGTCGAGAGTGTAACGAGCCTATATTTATACAGCGAGTTTTTATCAATAAAAGTCATATTTTAATTACCTCCAATTAATCATATATTAATCATTGGCTATCGGGTCAATATGCTTAACAATCATGCGAGTGCGCTCAGGCTCTTACGCTAATTGTGTTTGAGCAGCCGAGCGCATCCAGTCAGCATAAATTTATCAAGAGACGGGGATCACCACGTGGAATCTAATGAGATACGTACGCGGCATAATATCTATTTTGTTGATGCATATTTTTTTTTAAATCCTACAATCCCACGTGACAACTTTGACGTGGGAATAATTGTGAATATATATTTTTTTATCGTTATTACACGAAACGCCGATACTTTTTATTCGATGTATGCTTGAATTACATTTATGCTAAAGTCTTACGTGATGCTGCATACGTGAAGCTTAATATATTCAGGGACACTACCGTGTATCCGGACCGATCGAATCTCTTGATAATTCTATGGTGATTTTCAGATACTTATCGATCCGTATCTTAAAACGTTAGATCGAGACAAAACACGAATCGTACCATTGGTGGGTCTGACGAATCGATAAAAATCGGGTATTTGGAAAAATTACAAAATTTTCTTTTTTACAAAATTTAATATTTATTCGTCAAACGTCCCCGTGCTTCTCCGTTATAGCCGCCTTTCAATCAGACACACCAAGGACCAATCAGCGATGAATTACGACCTAAATCTCATTGTCCATTGGTTATTCGTACACTGAACGTAAACGAGGGTTATGATAGAAAATTGAGAATACGAGCCGACACGTGCGCACGAGCGAGTTCATTTTACACGGTTAAATAAGACTTTGATGTCGGTTCCCTCAGCTTTCGTAATAAGCCATACGTGCGTGCAGAATGATTTTTAAACTTTTCCATTGAACCGATCAACTCATTATTACAAGTGTGTATTCACAGCTCGTCGTCGACTATAGTACAATTGATTAGTTACCTGGTTCTGTGCATTCTGTTCAGCCATTGCCTTCTCCTTGGCTTGCCGCTTACACTTGTACCGGTGATTCTGGAACCAGATCTTCACCTGTAAAAACAACACGTACCTTCGATTAATCAAGCGCGCTACTATGCAGCGTGACGGGAATCGATTACACAAACATGAGTATATGAATCAAGTGTATATAATAATCGTTATCGTTATCATTGAGGCCGCCTTTACCATTCCCTGCCTCTCGTGCCGCCCTGAACAAACAACTAATGCCCGCGTACATATTGAGATTCAACGACGCGTAGAGGCCGCCGATACCTATGCGGGAGATAGATGCGACGTTCGTATTCGCGAAGACGCAGGACCGACGTCCAGCCTGAGAAAAGATCAGGTAAGGAGCCTGGGTGTTTTCCTAGGAGAGGATTCCTTGCGTGACTAAATTTTCAGGCTATTTCATTTTGACTGATGCTTTACGGGGTCCTAACCCCATAAGCCAATAATCCGACGTAAACGTCTCTTTCAGGTCCCTGCTGCGACGTTCATGTTATTATTTCTTCGTCCGGTCTATTTCGAAATTTTCGAGTCTTTTTTTTTTTTTCTCTTCAAAATTCCACCAACACACATTTCGCCAGACGTCCCACTTAAAATAGGTTGACTGAAAATCTCAAGTGTCAAAAGTGTCAGGGAAGAATTATTTTTCTCGGCGCGTATAAGTGCCATCGATGATCTTACGTATTAATTTTCTCCTCTTCACCCAATCGTACGACGGCGTACTAATTCATTCGTATATAAGAGTCATTTTGGATCAAGTGCCTGAAACTTTTCTCGGTTAAACGTCGCGGAGCGCATCCCTCTTTAACGTTCTTTATATGTATGCACACGTGGAAAGGATTACGTAGGACATGATGTATGTATACACGTATCTATTGTAAACGCTCTAAGACTGTTTCTACAAGTGTACGAAAAAGACTTTTCGATACTTCGTCGTTACCTAGCGGAGCCAAGGATACGACAGTGGTAATTTCCATATTGAAAATGAAAAAAAAAAAATATCAAAATAAAAAAATTAGGACCAAATTCATGCACTTTTTTTTTCTTATACGCGCATATACGAATGTTAAAATCTACTTTCATGGCAATTCAGTCCGATGGGACAAACCAGGCGTGCGCGCTACGTGTACGAAATCGGATCAGCATCTGCTTATGACAGGGCGTAACTGCGATAATCCGACGTTAAATCCGGTTTGCAAAGGGGAATCTTCGTCGCGCGACTATTATCACCGTCGCTCCTGGGAAACAATAACGAATTCACACCAGTGACTTTATCTTGGCAAAACGAGGGAGGCGCGTATAAAAAAGAGGAAAGAACAAAGAGGGGAGACGAAAAAACCCATAATTCCCCGGGCCATATGTTAAGGTAACCTCTTCAAGTGGATTTTCTAACCTAACCATGGAGCTCCAAACTCCGGGTACCTTAGTCTCCATTGTACGTGGCATGTCGAACGCAAGGAAAGGACTTTAATTCCTCGTCACGAGTAGCAAGGGGTGCCAATCGAACCGTAAGTCGAGGACCAGCTACTGGCTGTCTAATTTTTCCTATATTAAGTCCAACGTCCGTACGCGCAGCAGCAGCATGTATAATGGCGACTGCTGTATGGAGTATTGTGAAATATTATTTCAAGCACAAAAATTCCCTAGGAATTAAACAATGCGTATATAGAGGCCCATAGAAAATTCTTAGCATTATGAATCGGTTAAGCTAGGACCAAAAAAAGATGATCTAGACTGTCACGAATGAATATCATCCTGATCGTGTATATATGAAATCGTATGAAAGCCTCGTTACTCGAAACTAAATAAGGCCGAGTCATTGTTTACTCAGAATCAGTCATGTTACTCTCTCTTCGGTTATAAAGCTCTCGTGGATCCTTCCGAGTCTGACGATTGGTTACCCCACGGCTACTATCTCTGGTAGTAAATGGGTACAGGGTACGAGTGACTCGAAATCGATGGATAAAAATTGAAAAAAAAATATATTTATACGTACGACTATTTATGCATCTTCTTTTTTCGCGCAAAAAAACACGAGACAGCAGTCTCCCCTAATACCTGGATTTGCGACGGAGGTACGTGCTCCATGGAGGATTCTCTATGGGAATAAGGGTGACGGCGGGTATGTGTACATACGTACCCGGGGATCCTCGGAGAAGACGTGGACCGGGAGTCGCACTGTTATTTCAAGCGAACAGCCGTTTGTCCGTTCGTTCGTCTGTCCGTTTGTCCGTCACTCCGCACAGCAATGCACTAGGTAAACAATCCACGGCTGGGGACGAGATACGAACGGAGGATCGGAAAGCATTTACGGTATTGGGAAGAATATCTTGAAAAATTATTCTATAAATCCTCGGGGCATTTATTCGAAGCCGGATAAGGATAACAAATTTTTTTGACGTAAACTGAAAATTTTTTTTTTCAAAAATAATTTTCTTCATATTCCTACGTCACTCAGTCAGAATTTCCTACATATTATATGCATCGAGTACACGTATTCGGATTCGTCAAGGTTATATCATGCTCGGACAAAAGTACTTGGGCGCAGGTACTGACTCATACGCGAAGGTGTATTTTTTCGGTAGTCACGTGGTCGACGGTACAAGAGAGATGGGGAAAGAAAAAAAAAAAAAATAGAAACAGAAAACGAAAGATGTGTAAAAGCTATAGGTGGAGCGATAGAGGGTATGTACAGGGGGTAGAGCCAGTTTAGCCGCAGGGGACTTACCTACCCAGTTTGCTTAACAGGGGCTTAACTTTAACTTCCGATTAACCTGCGGTCAAACGCAGGTAAATGAAACGCCTCCGGGGCTGACTCAGGCTCTTGTAAAATTTGCCAGTGAACCTTTTCAGTCTGTTTGTTTCGGACTAATTGGACCTCGCACGTTTTCTCAATACGTTATAGTTCTTCGCAAGAGGTACCTCTTCCACCAGGCTCTATTTTTCTCATTCCCCATACAATTCCCTCGCGACCAGCCTGGCCTGTCTTATTTATTAATTAACAAATACCAAAAGCAGCCCTTAATTATTATTTAATCGTATACTCCATACTGTTACAGATCGTTCGTAATAACTTCTGATACAGTCCCTGGCGGACTATCAAATTCCAATTAATTCTCTACCACGTACCAATTGCCCACTAATTACCCATCCGTATTCAATTTCTCTCTCTTGTTCTCATGTCACATTCCGCGTCGCAGCCAGCAGGTTTGGGCATCTACTCGCGAGACTCCAATGCAGGAGGTAGTCGAGTGTGTTCGACAGGGCACGGGGGGGCGTGGGGTTAAAGTGGCCGATTGATCAAGTTAGCGTAACGTCATTACGCGGCTGACTCGGGGGAGGGTTGATGGGAAGCGACCACCACCAACCCTCTATATCATCATGGCCAATTTCGACACCGAGCTTCGACAAATTATACCAACGCTTATATTCTGGACCAACGAACCATGGGTGGTCCCTTTGCTAGGGGTGCCATTTCATTCGTTGGAGGTTATTCATCAAGCCTTCCTTGAGTCATGTGCGTATGTATATCTATATACCTATAGATATACGTCGGTAGCTATTTGTATACGAATGGGGTCGCGATGGGATTTTATGATAAATTGGGGCTGATTTCGATTACCGATATTAGCGTTGGCTATTATTTCTCTCGCGGTTTCGATCGCCCATTGTTATTTTAAGGGATGTTGCCGAACGGCAGCCAACGAGGAACTTGCGTATCGAAGTCGACGACGACCCGGATGTCAAATTATGATTAGGGTTGTTAATTGGCGCGTGTTGACCCTGCTGAGTGGTGGCTCGAGGGCAAATACCCTTCTGCCACCCTCTTGTTGTTTCAACCCGATGCCATCGGACGGATGACTTACCGATTACCTACTGCAAACCCTCGCGAAATTTCATCTCCACGGCGCATAGAATTGTTATCTGATAATAATGAATTTGAGATTTTTTTTTTTATATTACTACGAATTACACTCGTCATCGATAAACATTAAATTGTACTCGTGATTCGATTAATATATATATATATATATATATTTTTTCAAGTAAAATCAACCACGCTCATATTTTTTCGAGTCTTCCTTAAAAAGTCACCTTCCTTGCTCTCTAATTCTGCATGGCAAACGTGCAACGCCGCAGACTAAAAGGTTAGTCGCGAAGGGATGCTAATGTTTGCTGTTGCAATGTATGCACCCTCGCGTACGCGTTCAAAGTGCAGCCGGTAGGGTTCAAGGCACCTTGCGGGCCCCTCTGCTGCTGCTTGCTATCGGAATAGCTTAGGAACGCAACGAGGAACACGGAGAGGACGAAGAGGAATGCAATTACCTTGGCCACATAACCGCCCACGACATATTCATCATCCACGGGACGCAGTGCCCTACCCCGACGGGGATGGGCCGCGAGTGCACTCCAGAGATCACGATGTGCAACATCCGATTAACCCGCTGCGCTTTTACGGCATACCGAAAGATGCACGTGGAATTAACGTTATTCCGACTTTAGAAGATTTTACATTTTTCAACAGAATTTTTATCAGATATGACATGTATGCGGTACTCTGTCTATAGAGAAATCAATTATATATATATATATATGATTACATTATTATCCAAGTACTTGTTGCACGTACAAAATAGGTGTAAAATATTTATTTAGGCGCCGTAAAAGATGGTCGATGGACATTTTTTTCTGTACTGCCAAAAAATTGCATTTCTCATATCGCACAAATTCCGGCTTAATCAATTTGCGCTCCACTGAAATTTTTATTTGTGGATTCTCCCTCTTTCGGATATATCCGCTACGAACGTGGAATTTGAATGTGAATTTTATTTGCGCGTTTTTTATTGTCATTGGTCCAAATGGATAGTAGGAAATTAATTCATTTCAACAGCCAAGTACTATTTGCGGACAGCGTATACTTGAAGTGGACTTTTTTGTGGGTTTTTTTTTTGTAGCTCTGATTTGGAGTCTATAACGATTGTTAGTGATATATGTATATAATACCGTACGGTATTGTGTTTCATTAGACAGGAAAATATGCCGGTACGTTTAACCTATAGGACATGAAAAAAACGTCCACACCACGCTACACTCTGATGATATATTTATAAAATTTTATCAATGCCATTAATTTCAAGGACATTCGTGTACAAGCGATCCTTTTTATACGAATTGTAAATAACACGACTGGATAACAAGATAATAATTAAAAATATCTAACAAGAAAATATCTACGTCATTTTCAGAAGCATATCCTAAGACGTTTTCGGGACGTCTAAAAAGAGTTGTCTCTTAGACGTCACAGACTTTAGGAACGCGCCTTATCCAACCTATCACATCTCCCCATAGCAACTTAACACCATAGTTCCGATATACAACAAAATCTATTTTTTAAATCCATAATCGGCAAACCCTCCCGACTCTCGATTCCGCTTTCGCCATCCAGAAGGCAGCGCACTAAAAGGGGTATAGGATAGGTGCACTGGTAGAATTCACCGTACAAGAGCGTGAATCGAAAAGGGAGAGGAAGGTAGGCAGCCCTATTACTATGATTATTATAGCTCCCACCTCAATCGAGTGAGCGATCATTGCATTCCTTTTCCGCTGGTTTCGCCACCCCATTCGCTAGTGGTGCCCATCTCACCCCATTCCACGAGTCCACAGCCAAACACCATAGCAGCAGACCTATGTACCACCATCCCCTACCAACCCCATAGAAAAATAATATTGTGTGCACAGCCATCCCCTTCTCGACACTCTCTGCTGTACTATTACATCCATCTATGTACATATAGGTACCTGCGCCTACATTCAGCCCTTACTCCTCCACGAGAACTCTATTCGCTGTGAGTTTACTCGCGCGAACAAAGATTGAGGCTTTAATACTGTTTACGAATCCCAAGAGTAAGGGTGGCGGGAGGTTCACGCTAATTCACTGCACAATCGACGAATTTGCACTTTGCACTTACGCAGGGAAACGAATACGAAGAAGGAGTATAAAAAAAAGGGCACAAGGGGGGTAAGAAGAATTTGAATACGGATCGAAAATCCTACGTACCGGAAGGTGCGTCGAGTTCGATTAAAGAAGGCATAAGAGCCGTATACCTATATAGATATATACCTATAGGTAATTTGCCCACTAATGCGGTACTCGAATAGCAGCTGGCTCACCGGTCCTCCTTTCTCCGCAGCATCACCTCTTCCCCTTCCTCTCATCCTCGCATCCCTTGGCGGTAACAGTAACGACAATAATGATAACAATGACGGCAACAATGCCAGAGTGGGCAGCCAGTAACAATACGGGCTGCACTTAAAGTAACAATGCGAACATAAAATGGAGGGCCACATCTGTGTCCCGCGTACCGAGAGACGGGCGTGAGTGGGGGGGAGCGGTGTACAGGGGAGAGGGTAGCTATACGCTTACTGTGCTCTAGTATCTGTATGTCCTATAGGTACCTACTATATGGACTTGACAGTAGGTAGGCTAGAAGTATACATGTGCCCCGTTACACTCGTACGTGTTTCAGGGGAGACGGCCACTTCAGATCAGCCGTCCTTTTCAACCCTGGCATAAGGCATCGTTCACACTGCGAGCTTTAAGCTCGAAATCGCTTGTTTCGTTCTCTTTATTGTGGACGTCATGCGAAATCGGTTGGACTCATTGTATTTTGATATGACGACAGCTGTCAGAATATCAAGGATTAATTTTTATTAATTATTGATTATCGATTTCATTGTAGGTATATGATTCTTTTATTTATTTCACTGTTCACCCTGACATTACTTTTGTTATGGTTCGATTTTTTTATTTTGACAAATCTTCCTTCCCAAAGATTGCGAATCACCGTGAAATGGTGACTTTGAGTACGCACTAGCGATCAGTACTTTATTTATACCGAATTAATCGTAACTCTCGACTCGATTGGCTCATTAATTCTCGTTCGATGCTCAAGATCCTCGAGATCTCTAAGGCCGATCCTTAATGGACACGCGCAGTAGGATATCGTAGAATTGGCAGGAAATAAAAAGATCGTACTTCCCTCGTTACGTATTTGAGCAAAATTCAATTTGAAGATAAGGGAACCGGCTTACGAAGGATCGATTTCGAGTATTGAATTATGGTGATATCTGAAGTAAAAAAAATTTTAGTAAAATCTAAAAAAAAATTTTCACCAAATAAAATTCGTCAATAACCACATTATACGCGTACCTGTACAAATACCACTGTGATAAGACTGGACTGTATTTCGTTAAACACGTTTAATCTATCAATTTTATTGAAACCTTCCTTGTATACATACTTTCTTCGAGTACCTTCATAATGCTACTTAGCCCAGTATACAAAACAAGCAACCTTCCATAAACACTTGGAGCAGATACAAAGTTTACAATGTATTCCCGCAAATTCCTATGGCCCGATACCCTGCAGATAGATAATACACACAGACCCGTAAAATGACTTTAAATTTCAGGGGCTAACCTCTTACAGTTTACAATGTAAAAGAGTCCCCTGAATATGCCACTGATCTCGTGCTTCAACCGTACAGGTATACAGATATAGCCATCTAGTATTCCATACAAGTTCGAACATTTCAAGTGATTCCGAGTAGGCAGTACTGGGCGGTATATATACATATACACAGTGGACAGAGGGGCTCGTTTAGGTTCTACTTGTCCCCAGAAGTTCAAGTGGCCAGCCGATATAGTGTAGTAGTAGACTACGGTACAGTAGGCACAGTAGAATGAGGATCGCGGTGGTCTTCATGGTCGCTATTCACGACCTGAGTGAGATCCGAGTGTCATCGACTGGAACTCGTTATTGAAACTTATGGTGGGACCGCGAAATTGCTATTCTCCCCCAAAAACTCCTGATTGCAATCAAGTTTGATTCTCCCGATAGAAAATCCCGTCCTCGTGACTGAACAGGGTGTTTCGCCTTTTTCTTTTAAACATTCGCTGCCCCATCGCAAACGCACGTGTAACGCGCGGCTTGGTAATAAGAAAATATTAGTTTGGTAATAAGAATTTTTTAAATATTTTTTAGGTTATGTTGAAATCAAGCTACCTTCGTATAAAGATCATTGCACTGGGTACCCTATAGGTACGCCTACGTGTATGTAGGTTTTAACATTGGGCACCAGACAGACAGACAGACAGAGAGACAGAGGGGAGATTCAGCCCATCCATGAACGCAGGATGCGAGCAATGAGCTCGGTAACAATTATTTATTGTTCCCCGACTACCACCGAGTCTGGCAGACCTGTCTGAGATAAATGGAGTAGTCCAATTGATTGTTACGATCGACTTGGTTTTGAGCGAATAAAAAATTTGAAAGATTATTTATGGAATTATTAAATAATAATTTACTACCTACCTCGGGTGCCTGCAGAATTATTTGAGGCTCTGATGGATCTTTGATATTAAGAATTTAATGTAGAGTGCGGAGCGGTGAGGAAGGAAGCTTCAAGATAAAGCAGAGCGAAGATATCGATAACTGATTTGCGAATTAAGCCCTTGGATCGTTCGTCAGTTTATCTATGAGAATTAATAATTGAATGTACAGTAAATACGTACTTGGGTCGGTGTAAGGTGAATGAGCGACGCAAGATGCTCGCGTTCCGGTGCGCTGAGGTATTTCTGCTGCTTGAATCTCCTTTCGAGCTCGTAAACTTGGGCCTGAGTAAAAAGAACTCTGCGTTTTCGTCTCTGCGCTAAGGGAAATTGCATCGCTCCGACGCCCATGCCGACGCCTACGCCGACGCCCACGCCGACGCCCATACCCGAAGACTTGGTCACGTCGCCCATCGACTGGCCCACCGAGCAGCCGGCCATGTTGGTCCCGGCGCCCGCCGCCGCAGCGCCCATCAACCGCGAGACTGCAAAACATATTGAGACATGCACGGTAATTCTTTGGGTTCGTTTAATCAGCTTTTTATACTAAATATTACACAAAAACATCAATAACAGTTATTCATTCATTATTACTGCAATTATATTTATCACATTTATATTGCGTATAAACATAACTAGTCGGGATGAACTCGAGGGTTTTGAACGTTATAGATATTTGTAACCTAAAACTGACGAATGGGGAATTACGACAATAAACATTTCTTACGAAATTCTATATGCGTCTGAGGTAGATCGATACGAAATTTCATGTTGGTGAACAAGCAGATCCACCGAATCGGATTGAATTGTCAAAGAGGATTTTGAAACGTATATATGTATATATAAAACCGTTAGGTGAATGAAAGAATTCGAGCTACCGAATCTGGCAACTCCTCCTCGTTAGCAACCTGGGACGTAAGGATGGACAGCCGGACGAACGGACAAAGGGACGATTTAGGTGCGAATGCGCCACATCATCCTGTGCGGGAGGTCCGAGAAATAGATCTCAGACGCCAGCCATGAGAAACCTGCTCACTGGCACCATAATACAAGAACAAAAGGTCTAGGGACTTTCTTTACCTTGAGTAGAAGTCCAAATAGGAATAAAAAAAATCAAGACAATGATATTCAACAATTATTATAGATCTTGTTCAACCATTTGAAAACCAAACACTAATAAATTTGAACTCTTAATAGATATTTATTGAATATAAAAAAATCGTTATTTATTCAGCTGGCCAAATATAAGAGCAATTTTTACTGTTGTATAATATATGCTCCATGTACGTGCCCATCCGAAGCGAGTAGTATTTCATCGAGTTGACAACTATGTATAATTTTATGAAAGCCAAAAAATATATTCTTTATCGAGTCTAAATATATTTAAAAAAAAAAAATCCTAACGATATTCCTGCAACGGACGCATTATCGATATCCTCATTTAATAGTCATCTCAAATGGATTCGAGTGTCCAAACTCTCTTGGGCTCGAGCTGCTGTCGGCCGACGGAGAACAATAGCGTTCAAGTTTGACTGACTGACAGGCTTGAGGGTTGAAGTTATGACATAACTTCTGCCAACGGGCAGTTGGATCAGAGAGCGCGTGTGAGAGCTCGTTAGGTAAACTGGCATTCCTGGCCACCCTGACTGAGTTATTGAGACCTTGAGTGTCTTTAAGGGAGATATTAAAAAGAGTCTCAAATTTCTCTTAATACAATGAAAGCCTCAAATGATTCCAAGCATACAGCCCTTCCTTGGGGTATAAACGTAACTTTGAGGTATTCTCTCTTATTTCTCGCTCTCTTTGTAGACCCGTGTGTGCCACTGGCATGGAATCCTCAACTTAGTTCTCCCCTTGGTATACTATAGGTAAGAGCTTACAGTTTATTTGTTTAACTAAAATCTTCGCCGAGGTCCGCTAGCCACGCGTCCTAAAATCGATATGCTATTCCTCTTTACGTTACGGGATATCGAGCAAATGTGTCAGTCCAGTATGTGAAGAAGCTTAGAGCGGTTCGAATTCGCTATGAGAATTATTGTTGACACAGCTAACCTAGAAATGCATTGTCCGCTGCTGGCTTTCGTATTTTCTATTGTGAAGAAGTACATATACGACAGTGTAGATGGCGGGAGTGACCATTGGAGGCCATGATGAAATATGTAGGAGTTTCATTCTGAAAGTCGATGTCCCACTTGGATAAATCTAACACGAAAGTAGCACGACTCTTCTATATTCTGATTGGTTGAACCCTGCTGTACTTGAGACGTGTGATATGTCGTGCGAGTTTGGAACCACGAGAAGATAAGTAGTTGACTTGACGGACAGATTTGTTTGCCTTTCATAATCGGTCATCATTCGCAGAGTCATCATATATGCCTAATTCAATACCTATGTCAACCACCTACGGATTTCTAGATAGCTCAAAGAAACACTGGAGACTTTATTATTTTTGAAAAAATATTAGATATTTTTCTTTAAATTATCATTATATATGAATATTCTTGCTATGACGCATTGGGCAGTATTTAAAAATACGTTGAGAAAAATCTACATTGTGTACTATGATATATTTAATTTCTAGTATATAATTGATTAATTCATGTTTATTAGTGCTTTTGAGTGCGTTTAACTATCAAAGAAAGACGACAAGAGATGTTTGAGTGTATTTATTATTTTTACAGAATCCATCGTCAAATACTATTGTGTCCTCAGATTATAAACAATTTTCAAGTTTAAAAACGTTACTCTGCACTTTACTATTCTGTTTATTATTAAGCTCAGTTGATTTAGGCCTTACTGCATGTTACGGACATGTAGTTAACCCACTTTGGTGTTCATATGCAGTTAATATATAGATAAAGGAATAGAATACTCACTAGCAAATCTCGGGTCGTTGGTAGTCGGCGGCGCGGGCGCATACCATGGATGATGGTGGGACGAAACAGCATGGGAACGCATGGGATCCGAGGCGGTTGCACCACCTCCAACACCAGGTCCTGCATGATGGTAGGGCGAAAGTTCTGCCGCGCAATATTGATACTGTGAAGTAAGCTGCATGGTCGCGTAAGGATTGCCCATAGCACTCATACCACCGACACCACCACCACCACCAGCACCAGAACCACTACCAGCACCACCACCACCGGCACCGCCACCGCCATTCGCACCGGATACGGGCCCCGGGGTGCTACCCCCAGGAGTCGAACCGCCATGAAGTGGCGGGCTACCACTGCTGGCACTGCTGCTACCCGTGTTGCCACCCACCCTTCCGCCGCAGGCGTTCGCGTACGGCGAACTTTGGGGATGCGTCACGACGCCGACGCCGACGGCCGCCGCGGCTGCTGCCAACTCGAGTTTACGGTACGATTCCTCGATCGGCGAGAGAATGTCGGTCACACTGAAGGGGGTCGTATGGGCCCCACCCCCGGCCTGCACGTGGGAGGAATGCTGCTTTGGGGATAAACTCATTGCCAGGTCGACGCCGTTTAGGTCTGGTAGAAGACCGGCCTGTTCCAGCTGTGTTTGCTGTTGTTGTTGTTGTTGTTGTTGCTGTTGGTGCTGGTGGTAACTAGCGGCATTGTTACCACCTTGGCCTCCACTGCCGCCACTCATCTCAGCTGGATTTTATCTCGTGTCTCGTTCTTCCTTTGGATTATTCGTTTAATCACGCACCACTAGTCGCACCGACCTGGTGACATGGTTTTGCGTTGAGCCTCGTCGTTGCCTCGATTCTCTTGATTCTGTTTGAGCTGAGGAAATCACGACTGAATTGCGTTTCTTTACGGAAACAAAGAAACGGAGATTTTACGGGTGTTTTTATTTCACTGCTCTTTTATTCTTCAATCATCAGTCTTCCGTAATCGTTCATTGGAATACTGTGGGATTCATTCCGTATAAATGTTATGATTGCACTCTTACACGAATTTCTTGAGTAAGTGATATACGCATTGTCCCAGGTATTCACAAGATTTCCATGGAGTAAAGAGATTATTAGGGCACCAAATTTCGAGATTTAATCACGCAAATATCTTGACAATTTTTATGTGGATGCATCACTAAACGTAAACACCACTGACAGTCACCATTACTAACTTGTCAAATATTTAACTCACTCAGCGACGTAAGATCAGGCGTACCAAATAGATCTGACCAGGCTGTCATAAAAATAACCAGAGAATGTAACTAGAGCACAAATTTCACAGCATTCATTTTCACAGTGAATAATAACACAATTCTTAGCAGCAGTGTTTGTATTTACTGACGTTTCAGTCACACCAAATAAAACCTTCACTCTCGGATTTTCTTCCTATTCTCCGGAAGTAGCACTGGGAGCCGAACAAGCGACGTAGAAACACTGGGTAGGATCGTTCGAGCGTTGGCGAATGGATCGCGCTCGCGAGGTGATTTCCGGTGTAGGTGAGAGTCGGACCTCATCTCAGTCCAAGAGGTCGCAGATCCGTCGATACCCGTAATAATGATTCCGCGTTGTCGAACCGAAGATCACGGATGTGCAAAGAAAAAAAGCACCCAGTAAAACACGTGCGTCGGAGGAGTGGCCGGCAGCCGGCCGGCGGCCGACTGAAATCACCCGGGAGTCTTCGAGTCCTTGGACTCTGCCGATAGATGGTAGATGTACACTCTACTTCGCCTCTACTGTCGAGGATACACTCTCTCCAGAGAGAGGAGCGGCTCTATGGATGGATGGATGGTTGGATGGATGGATGAATGAATGAATGAAGGACTGTTGGGTTCCTGGAGAGGTCCTCACGGCCGCTTAGACCCACTCGACCAGCGTTCGCTCGCTCGCTCGCCCGGGCGGCCCACAGCCTCGCGAACCCGTAGACGACACGATGAGTGGAGTGCCCACTACGGAGAAGTGCCTGGTACCAAGAGTCGTGATGAGATGTCCCCTTTTGCGTGTGAGAGGGGTCCTTCTCGTGGCAGAAGTGGGTTCTAGCATCCCTACCAGGACGGACCTGTGCCAATCGGTCAAAAAGTTTCTTGCTATTGGTCGATATGAATGCACCGCCCAATCTGACGTAGGTGACAGGTAGAGCATGTCTGTTTTTATTGGCCGAACGTGCTTATGGGCGGAGCTTTAGCCTGTGCTCCATTCAATCAGGGTGGATTTACGCCCAGTGCTAATGGTGGGAGACTCTTGTTCTTAGACATGGCCACCCGGCTCTGGTACAGCTCTCCTGAAAATCTACTGACGGTTGGCAAAAATCCTGAGGCGCGCGCGTCCCTACCAACTTCTCCTAGTGATCTGCTTCTAACCTGCATTGACATGCACTGCTAGTGGGCAAGTTACATGCTTTGATACCGACGTATCAACGTCCTTGGTACCGTTACGAACGTCGTATTGAAGTGTGAGCCATAGGGGGTGGTTTTGTGCGAGAGACAAACATTTCGACTCTGTTTCAATTGTAGTAGATATCTGTGTTTCTGAAAAGTTATGTATTTTTAATGCTTCGTTTTAAATCATACATAATTCTGACTGTTATTACTTCTATGCTAAATCACTTTTTCGTATTCGTAAATGTGCGGACGGTACTGTTAAATGAAATGTTATTTAAGATGTGCACTTCTTACACGGTATTTCACTTTTTGAATGAGACGCAGCACGAATGACTACCTACCTAGCCATAGAATTCTACAGGCAGGGTTTGCTCTGACCATGACCCACCCATCTATATTTGTCGAGAACACTTTAGATTACCTTTATTAGATTACGTGAAATGAAAAATTACAAGTTTATAAAGTATTTCGAGGTAATTTTTTTACCCTTGCACTGTGTGTTTAGGATGTTTTGGATTCGATAGATTTAGAATAATTCAATCGTTCGACATTATCAAATATTGCTTAGTTACTGTATGTTTTAGTAATTTATTTATAATATGATACCAAGTATTTTTTACTATTTAAGATGTTATAACGGAGGATTGTCTGATTAGTGTCTGATAGTGAGTGTGAGGTTTCAAATTGGAGTTTCTATTTATATGTATATTAGTAAATACATTCCTTGACGGTGGAGACATTGACATCTGTGAGTTGTTCTGTAGAAGAAACTGCATTATCTACGACGGAAAAGGCAGTTATCTATAATAGAGAAAAGGTTGACCACTGATAACCTACACTTAAACAATATACAGCTTGTATTTATGTAATCGACAATATAATAGAAATTATGTAGTAATTACGAATTTATTCTGTCATTTATCGTACCCTGCTATAATTTCCTATTCATTTACAGAATTTTAGAAGTAGGAGATCAATGAATCAAATAAGTAATTAAAGTAAATACATATATTGTTGGGAATTATAGCCACAGTCGTTCAGTCATTGCAATGAAAACTGGATCTTAGGCCTTCCATCTGTGGGACTCGTGTAGTAATGGCGTCCCGTCTCTTACGCGCTTTTGGATTAATATCAAATCCGTTGAAAAAGACCACGAATAACAATAATGGTATTCAAATGTCAATATTAATAGTTATTCATTAATACTATAAAAATGTCTAACTCGTTGAGCTTGTCACAAAGTCGATCGTTGAAACAGTCTAACCCTACAATCTACTGTTTGAAACATTTTGATATTTTGTATTTCAATAATACTGGACTGATTCAAGCGATGTATTATTTAAAAATTTCTTCATATTCGTACTTCTTGTTTTTCAGGATTAATATGTCAACAAGCAGGCATGGTTCTAAATCTTTTAACAAGCCATGTACCTGTTACAAATATTGTGCGTAGCACAAGTTTCTTCAATAAACGTAAGTTGCATTTGATTATATATATGCTAATAGTAATAAATATTCTCTGAATGTGTTATTTTTAATATTGTTCTCCTCTTTATCGATTATAGTACCTGCTGAGTCATTGTGGAAAGGAGTAACCAGTGTTAGTAATGCTGGGAGAAAGAGAGGTAGAGCAAGGGCAATTGGGAAGAAAGGAATAAAGAATTTAAATCGTGGCCAAGTTATTGGTATAGGCAAAATAAATATGCAATGGCCGGGTCTGACAAGTCCTATATTACGTGGTAGGGAACTTATTCAACAACATAAACTTCCTGAAGATCCAGAGAGGGAGGCCAAACTTATTCAATTGAGAGATTCTATGACTGGCTTTAAGAAGACAAAACTATCCCCTATTGAACGTGGTTGGACTGGAGATAAAATGGGTGGCCGTAGTATAGGTCCTCCTGATCCTATTGGCGAAGGTAGGTACTACCTTTATTTAAACAATACAATTTAAAAAAGAAACAAAGGTCAAATTTCAACTATTTTAATGTATACAATATTTCAGATACATTTGAAGGGTTTGATACTAGAGTTTTGGAATTTAAGATCGTTACTAACATGACTGGTAACATGGGGCGTAAGAGGAGGACCAGTGCTTTTGTAATAACAGGAAATGGAAACGGTCTGGCTGGATTTGCTTTAGGAAAAGCACTTGATTCTAGAGCAGCCTTAAAGACTGCTAAAAATCGTGCTGCTCAGAAGCTAATTTATATCAATATGTATAATAATCACACTGGTAAATGAATGTTTTTTACTGTACAGACACCTAGTAAGATAAGTGGAAATCAATCAAATCTAAATTCACAGTGCTGCATGATTTCTATTGCCAATTTGGAAAGACAAAAATATTTGTAACAAAGCAATACGAAGGTTTTGGTTTGGTTTGTCATCGCGCTATAAAAACTTGCTGTGAAGTAATAGGTATTAAGGATCTTCATGCTAAGGTCGAAGGATCCACAAACTTGCAACATATTATCAAAGCATTTTTTATTGGACTTCTGCAACAGGTATGAAATGATGGTAATAATAAGCTATAAATCATGGAGTTTTACTATTTTTTCACAAACTCTTATAATTCTGCTATCATTTTCTACAGAAAAGCCATCAGGAATTAGCAGAAAAAAAGAAATTACATTTAGTTGAATTCAGAAAAGAAAATGATTATTTTCCTACACTGATCGCTTCCCCAAGTAAAGTTAGAACAGAAAACTACGTTTCGACCACTGAAATCCGTGATTTTAAACAGTATGTGTTAGGAGGAAAGATAATGTTGGAAAAGAGAAAGCTTCCTCCATTTTTCGTAAAACAGAAGTCATGGATGATACGACAGAGAAAACAGGAGTACTTGAGAAATCAAGATAAAGTCAGGCTTCGTATGCTGGCTGAACATGGCGAACTTAGGAGTTTTCTCACAGACAAATATCCTGAGGCAAAGCCAAGATTAATGAATTTTAAATCAAAAAGATCTGCAGAAGCAGAGGCAGAGTAGTATAACGTGCAAGTTTGAATCATTTGTATAATTTTAGTTCATAAATAAAATGTGATCACATTAATATTTGCATTTTTATTAATACATTGTTCATTACATTACAATATGGCTTCTGAGACTCGATTCCATAAACACGGATTATTGTTTAAATTCTGTTTATCTTCAAAATGCAAATGTTTGTTAACTGATAGCGGAGTTAAACCGAATTTAAGCAATGAGCCGTGTTTGTGGAACCGAGCCTAAGTGACAGAGTATAGTCTCTAAGGAGAATTAGTGATAGTTTTCGAACGACACTCTGAAACATTTATTTTAAATACATTTGTATCTTAAAACGACCTTTTAGTTATCGATATATAAAAGAACGATATATCGGAAGCAGAACAATTTTCTGCCAACTTCGTAGTGACCTGCTGACGTTCTACTCCAAAGATGGCGGTGATGAGTACGCCATGTTTTTTGTGATGTTCGCGCATTAGAAAAATTTTTTGGCAATCGTAATTCGTATGAGCAAAATGGCTGATGATGATCCGTGGTTATTGAAGGAAGACGGCTACCTGAACGTGGATACCGAGTGTAAAAGTATAACCTATCATCCCAATTTAAACGTGGTACTGATAACTACTGGCAGTGCGCAAGTATACGTGTTTGATGTCAACTCCGGGGTGATCCTCCAACGAACTTGTCTATCCGGTGAGCATCTCGTCGTTCATCACCCCTCGATCATAAAGAATGTTTTAAATCCAATCTATCAATAGGTCTCATCCATCGCTGCAGGTCATACTTCATTATTTTATGAAGGTTCATGGTCAAGGTCGCATGCGTCTTCTAAACGTCAGACTCGCAATGAAGATCTTCTTCACGAGTCATCTCACCTGCGAACAATCTATCGAACTATAGATTCTTGCCATATTCAATAATGCTAACGATACCTCAGTTTGGCAATTTGAGGGTCATGGCATTTTTTTGCTCAATATGCCAGTTTTTCAATACACATCATATCAGACCTTTCATTCTTCTTCTCTACTGCCTTTTGTTCCCCTTTGACCTTATCCAATGAGCAGATATGCTTATGATTTTTTACGTTTTTCTTTCTTTTGCTTCAAACTGGTGTATTACAATGAAATAGATTGCAATACATGGTGTAATTTTTCCTGATGTTCATTGTATACCATAAGAAGGAATGACAAAGAACAATGGAATGTGCAAATATACTGTTGTCTTAATAGGAAACAAGACCTATTGATAATAAAGGATGAATTTATTTGATACAGTCCATAAATTATTTCCGATGCAGATAAATAAATTTTATTTTTTAAACGGAACTGATTTATGACAGCCCAAGATATAACTGGTTTCTGTATTAGGTAGGTTTGAATCTAGAACTGAATTCCATGGTGTAGAATCTATGGATACCTCTGTATTACTGCATAATGTATTTGAGTACGTTATATTTTGGATGGTATAGAATATAAAGTTTATAATACAAAATACAATGATCACTTTGTAACTGATTTTAATTATGAAAATCATTAGTTAATTTCATATGTCAGCTTAATTGTCATACTGAGCCATATAATAATTCACATTATATAAATTATGCATGAGTCATCTGATTATACATACAAAAGAGTAACAGAATCTACATATATATACAATGCTTCAAATTAATCTTGACAATAAAAATTAAAAATTTATTTTCATTATATTATACAATGATTTAGAAATGTTTACATTCTTGCTGCAATTTTAATAATCTACTTTATGCTATTTTTGTTATGAATGTGTGCAGGTAAACCTGATGGAAAACTTCAAGGAGTATACTTGGCAGAAGGAGTCGATAAAGTATTATATACTGATGGAAAAGGAATTGGTATACGCAGCGATTACAATGGTGTTCTGCTATTAGACACCATACTACAAACTCCAGTCTCTCGCAGTGAAGACATTATCAAACTAGAGCTTTTGCTGTCGGAGGCTATATTATTGCAAAAATGTTTGAGATGTGTGGAACTGCCTGGCATAGATCATGTACAAGAGGTGTTACAGGAATTGAGTGTGAAAATTCAAACAGCACAGGCAAATCAGAAAAAGGGTATCAAAGCACAAAAGGTTAGACCTAAGCTTTAATTCTGTAATATTTTAATTGCAGAAAGCAATGCATATTAGTATACTTTCAATTATAACTTTACAGTGGAACACAATATGCTTGGAATTACCGCACGGAGCAATAAAGCTTGTTTGCTCAGGACTTGTAATGGAATTGAAGAGGCTGAACAAGCACATACCGGCTTTGCCCATCGCCTCAGCCATCAACGAACGACTAAACGGCCTATTGCCCAGCCTCGTACTCGAAGGCGTTCCAGTCGACAGGGCTCTTATGTTTAGCGAGGCAGCTCGACGTGAGACATTTTCCAAATGGCCACACATGAACTACAAGTATACTGAACTTCTTTATAGGATAAATTATGGGATTTGACATTGACAATGATATCATTATATGTTTCTCAGATGGGCTCTGCCGGATCAAATGGCTCAGGCTGGGTTTTATCACCAACCAAATTCAATAGGGGAGGATCGTGCTATGTGTTTCACTTGCAACGTCTGTCTTGTCTGCTGGGAACCTACAGATGAACCATGGTCCGAACACGAGCGACACTCACCTGCCTGCCCGTTTGTCAAAGGAGAATACACGCAAAATGTACCGCTCTCTGTTACACTTGCCACTGCTCCTGCTCGGGAATCCGGCGATGCTGTGGAAGTGATAAGCACGACAAATGTCCCAGGTCTTGTAGCAACAGCTGCTTATAACGGTCTCGTAAATGTTTGGAACATCAATAAACAGTTAAAAGTGAGCAAAACTCTTGATGATTTTCTTGAATGAACATATTAGTCTGTAATACTTCACGTGTTATCTTATATTTTACAGAGAGAATTGTCTTTCTTCGTTGTTCCTTGCGAACAGGAAGCAAACAACAAAGATACGTTGCAGTTTTATGCTTTATTTAGAAATCTAACAACACCGTACCTGCCGAGTCTCGGTACTGAGACCGATCCTCTTTCCGATTACAAACCTTTCAATTCTCACAAACTGCAGCTTACTGCACTCTCGGTGGTGGGTGGACCAAAGTCACAGGCCGAAAATGTGAAGACTACAAGTTCAACGACTTCCTCTTCGGTGGCTATTGAAAGTATAGACAGTGGTGGAATCAGGCCGTGTTTAGTGTGCGGTGTGTCAGTGAGCGTGAGCAATTCTCCACAAATGAGAACTTTGGAAAATGTGTGGGCCGCATCAACGGATTTGGCCCCCTCGTCATCGTTAGTGCGTGCTATGAATAGTGTGAACAGTGCTGCCAGCGATAGCTTAGATATTATGAAGGTAGCCGACAGGTGTACACCCACGAGGTCCCATTACTTAGTACTGTACGACTTCCATCATAAAGCGGTTTCGACGCAACCGACGAAAGAAGACAGTGCCAAGGATCCTAAAGCCAAGAAGACACTCTCGGGAACCGGAACAAGCGCTAGTTGCAATGGTGGGCGACAGGATAGTTTGTATCAGGAATTATTCCTTGGGAAGTTCTTATACGAGGTTCCGGTTATCGGAGATGTTAATTCCGAAATGGTTGTGGGGTCTCACTTCGATGGCATCTTTTCCCAGACTGCTCTTACCGCCACTTCCTCCAACGGTATGTTCTCCACACCTATGGGCATTACAGTCGCTGCCTCCTCCAGTCCCTTTGATGCCAATTTCCTTCCTATTAACTCCTCGGAACAATTTCCCACCACATCTGACATTGCTGGACTTCATAAAAAGGCGTTAGATATGATGAAAGGCGTGAAGACCGAACCAATAGCTGTACAGACTGTGTGCATCAATGCACCTGATTCACTCAGAGTGACGTATACTGTACCATCCAGAGATGGTAGGTACTTGTATGTGGCGCTCTGTCCTGCACCGGATATTTCACTTGCGGATCCACCACCTTCAACGAATACCAATCAGATGGATATTGATGAAGACAGTGAGTTCTTTCCTCCTAAGAGTTATATGTATTGGGACCATAATGAGATGCAACCTGGAAAACTGATAAATGGAGAAGTTCACAATGATGTCAGTAATACTGCTAGCAGTAATGCGATTTTGCTCGTTTATGCTTTGGACTTTACTGGAAAGGTTGTCAGATTAGTACCAGAACCGATAGTTAAACGGGAATTGCCAGCGGATCAAGTACCCGTGGAACATGTTCTTTTACCTCTACAAGAGAAGCACAGAGATACTGGAATATCCGATATCACTTCCGCCGCGAGTCCTGCTGCTGCTTCGATTGGTCAAGAGCCTCGCGGACAAGTGGCCTTAGTTTGTAAAGACGGCGTCGTACGACTGCTGGACCTCAGCACTTTGAAGACTGTTACGGAAGCACGGTTGGATGGCTGCAAGTTCATTTCTGCAGCATACTGCAATAGTACGTTTTAAATGCATTAATGAAGTTTGTGAAACTGCGTACTTATGATGAGACATGTCCTATCACTTTATATTATCTCTTATGATCAGGTCTTGAAAGACTGTGTGTCTGTACGAACGACGGTGCTCTTCACTTTTTTGCTACCACCGAAGAAGATGACTCTACTGAAGAGAAGGAGGATGCGGACGATGTGACTATGGTAACCGAAGGCAGCATCAGTCATGAACACACTGCTCCTAGTACATCGACCTCTTCAGTAATTTACCAGTAAGTTTTGAATGCTTCTTAACAAGGACTTCCAATATTTTACTTTTAATTTTGGATATTTCAGGGAACCAATAATAGCACACAGATCCAATTTAACTTATTCCGATTTGAGAACTTTGTACGATCTCACGAGATTCGACAGGCATTCCCCAGGTTATGGCGCAACAGTTCCACCTTGCTGGAGTGAAATGATGCAGGCACAGAGGCAACGCCGACATCCTCAGCATCTTCATCAATCCGAAGATCAACACCATACGCGGACTTGGCGTTTGCAAAATGACACGTAAGTGTTCAGCTATTTACAGCTTAACTATTGTTGCGATTCGTATTTTAGGAACATTATGTCTATTTCTTTTTTTTTTCCACCTCTAGGACAACATGGGACGAACATGTCTTTGAACTCACTTTGCCGAAGACAGCTTCTGGTACCGTTGGTCATGTCGATGTTAGATTCAGTCTACACTCACCCTGCCCAGAGCCACCAGCCATCCAAGTGACTCTTCTAAAACAAAATATTACGGGGATTGGACATCATAAATCTCCTCTCACCCCTGTTGACGAGAGGATAGACTTTAATATCGGAAACGATCCAAAGGGTGAAAATCCTGTAGTCACCGAGGAATACCAGAGACAACATAACACAGAGATACTGTGTGGACCTATCAATCTTCAACGTTGCACAGATCTTTCTGATCACTCGGGCTGCATTACACTTACCAGTCCTAAACTGTTTCGTTCTAAAGCCAGAACGCTTCTAGTACATATTAAAGCATTCATAGATCCCGCAAAAGATGGAGTAAGTAATTCACACTTTGTAACTCTAAGATTTCTTTTTTTTTTATTGTGGGTTATATTGTTTATTTACTATATCAAAAATTAATTCATCACCTTTTAAGGCTGCTGCGAAATCCAGAACTAATTTATTGGAATCGAAACCACCAACTTCAAAGAAATTACGAATAGACGAAGCAGGTCCACTCTTACCAGGAGCAACTGTTGAAAGACTTGCTGCAGGTGCAAATAAAAAATTGGAAAATTATATAGGTAATAAGCATTTTCTGACATACGAGATGAATTTATTGTCTTAAAATTATTTCACAATCATTTTTTCTTTTAAGGATGCGATTGGATTCATGAGATATCGATTACAGTAAGATCAGTTCATTCTATCAACATACCGAATGAGAGGTTCCAGCGTTGCGCAATGTTAGAATCCAAGAATTTTATTGAAAATTTACTTAGCGTAGCTTGTCTGCAACAATCAGACAAGTAAGTACAGCGAGATTTAATGTAAATAAAGTAAATCTAAATACTGATAAAATTAATACAATAATAATCTCTTTCTAGGTCGCCAATTGTCCAGTCTCTTGCCTTAGATATTCTTATATGGGTAACAGCCATAAGGCTCACGAGATTGCGCACAGGTCAAGGTAGCACAGCAACCAGGGCTATGCAATTGGAGACAGTGAGCTGCGTGCAGGGTCGTTTGTCGGATTTATTGCGCACATGCCTCTTGCATGCTGGAAGAAGTGTAGCACACAAATGCGTTAAACTTATTGTTCTTTGCAGCGAGTAAGTACCATCGAATGAAGTATTTAGACATTAAAAACAAATACGGATTCAAGATCGAAATATAATCTAAAAGTTAATAAAAAACATCATAAATCTTATTTCATGAATGATAAATCTTTAGGGGTCTTCATAATTTGGATGAACCTGCTCCACATTCTTTTGACGAGGCTGTTCTAGCTGTTTTGGTAACTCTGTTACCTTCGATAGCAGGAGTGCAATGGGCTGGTTCATTAAGATGGTTGGCTGTATTAATTACAAGATTATTACCATTAGACAAGAATCATTGTGTTGCTCAACAATGTGTCACTCTCGTACAGCAAATAGCTACAGAAATGTCAAACAGAGTTGATCCGTATCACCTCTTACTTGCCACCAGGTATGTTTTTAAGGGTGTTATCTAGTAAAAAAATTAATGTGAAGCAAGTACATGAATTTTAAGTTGATAAATTATGTCATCTATGGCTTTCTTTAAAAGGAGTGTTCTACTCATATCTTTTCAGATTTGGCTTGTATAACACGCCTTTCGAAACAGAGCTCTTCGACATGGAACCTCCAATGCCTCCGAAATTTAATTCGATGCCTGTAACATACGCAACAATTTTAAGCGGCGAGCAGTCAGGTCCTTCCTCGACTTCTAGTAGTTCAATCTATTCGCAGGACGCCATTGATTTGAGGGATCTCCTTACACTGCCTGCACATCCCACAAGTGACTTCATAGTACCCAGTAAATTAAAGGCACTTTGCGCTAATCACAGTATGAAAGGTCTCCTTGAGGTAAGGAATACGAGGATAAGAAATATACTTAAATATTTATATTTATTTATACTTTTATTAACATGTCTTACAGGTCGAACCTCTTCATTTTACTTGCCATGCCGCCTCTGACGGTACTAAGATGGAGAAAATCGATCCGGGCATAAATTCGGTCAACATGGGCACGACACTATACGACAATGCCGCAACGAACAACAATGCTGCACCAGACATCAAAATTATTCATCATACTTACGTAAGTTTCAGACATTTTTTATATCAAGATATTACCTCGCGCTTGTGATCATTAACAAATACTGTGAATACACAAAAGTTTTTATATACGTTACTATCGCTAGGTTAACATTAAATGATGAACATGTTTCTTCCTGACATTGTGCGAGAAAATGGTGGACCAATCATAATGTCACGGGAATTAGAATCACGTTGGCAGACATAACTGCATTCTCGGCGTTTCCCAAACTTCCTTAAAATGGGATTTTGTCTAAAATTATAAAACTATGAGTCTTTTACACCGGATGCGTGTATGAGACTTTGGCTCTATTTGTTACATCTATCCTTTCCATTATTTAACAAGAATTTCATGTGCTGCTTTAAAAGATTAGATGCGCACTTAGTTTGGGAAACGCTGTCGGAACCGTCGCGCAATCAAATTCCCATTTAAAGAACGTGTAATTTAGAGAGAAATCATTGTACATTGTAGAACTTGGATGCTGGATCGCTAGGACCAGATCTTCAAGCTAAGTTGTCAACCAAAATATGCGATCTGCTTAGTCATTATAACGTCGAAATGACTAAGAAGACAACCGCTGAACTGTCGCTCACATCTGATGATCAATCAGACAGTGACGAAGTTAACAATATGCCTGTTATAACCCAGAACTGGGTTAAGCCTAATACGCCTAACCCTCACACGTTAACTTCTACTACTGTAACAAAAGAAAAATCGTCAATACCAAATACCGGTATTACTGCGAACAAAGTCAAGGACAACAATGCCAAAAAGGTAGACTATGTAGAATGAGAATTTTCCGCCTTCTTACTCTTTTGTTTCACGTCGAAATCGATAGTACATTGTTTTCCTTAGAAGTACTTTGTTTTCTTTATCTTACTGTGATGCTGCTTGCAATTGAGAGTCGTTATCATTTGGAGAGATTCGATATCGAAGACGCGGTGCTCCTCCCAATATTTCATGATACAAAAAAAGAGGCTACTATATGTGCTATACTTATTGTACATTTATCAGATATCATTGATATATAATTAATATTCTTAAAATATATCTGAGTGACATTTATCATTCCATTGAACTATCAATACAGCACAACATACCTAGAAGATGTTATGTGCTGCACAGGATAGTGTGTATCTTACTTTCAGGATCGTATGTACTAACTATGCATTCCAATTAGCCTATGCGTATGTCGCAAAGCCAGGAATAGCACAATTTATTTATATTAATCATTCATTGCCCTTATTAACATCTACAAATTAAACAACTCTTTGATTTACTAATCACTTGGAGCCGCAGTACTTTCGTTTAGAATTACTAAGAACCGCTTAGAGAACATTATATCAAATTCGTGCTGATAATAATAGTTGTCTGCCATCGAATGTCAGTAACAATCTATAATATTCGCACTCGATTATTAAGATTCACGTTGTACGCAAAGATCTGTAAATAATTGATGCAGTAGATTCGAGAGACGCTTGTCATTTTTTTGTTTGTTTTACTGACCTTACTTATGTGATTTACTTGTAAAATTCTAGCGAGAAGATGTTGCCTTTCCTTGGGGTAGATTACTCTGCTGGCCGCCACAACAAGCATTGGTTGTTGAACGAATGCATTCAGGAGCACGTAGATTTGTCATCTTGGATTTCGGTTCACCGATACTACTCACGGATCTGATGATTCCCATGTGCAATGATTTGGTATCGCTTTCTATTGATATCTGGACTAAGAGTGAAGAGAGCGATGGCACACGTTTAGTGGTTGCCGGTGATATTGGAACTAAACCCTTAGTAGTGAGTGATCTTCAGCCACCGCCAGTATGCAGATATTTGAAGGTACTTGGTTGATCTAGAGCTCATGATGAAATTCTTCTATTGAAATCATTTGTTATGCGTATTAATTTTTTAATACTAGATTACGACTATCGGTCGCTATGGCATGTCCACAACCAGATGTAAAATCCCATTGGGAATGTTCTATGGACATATGGTTGTTCTACCCGGTGAAGATTATTCCGAGCTTAACAGATCTCAGGCTGGATTCAATGGTACAGCTGATGCTTCTTTACAGGCTACCATTGAATCTCAATGTAGTGTTTTATCTGCTCTTGCTGAAGATGTACAGTGCCGGTATGTTTGTGCTTTTTTCTTTATTGCGTCTCATAATCGTTGTAATATATGTTAAAATTATTTATTGTTATACAGATATAGCTTGGCTACTGAGAGGCTGAAGAGTCTTTTGGACCCTTTATTATGTACCGAGACACCTAACGTGGTACACATGCAGCATTATCTTTATCGTAATAAAACGTCCACTGAAAATAAGGAGCAACCATCCTCAAAGATACTATCCACTTACCAGGTGAATTTTTGATACCCTGAATTAGTGTGTACGTGTGGGAATTAATTTTATCAGCAAGATATTTCCTTCCTTTAGGAATGTATAATGTTTCAACATCAGCTGAACGTCGTTCGCGGTGTCTGGCGTCGTTTAGAATCATGGAGAGGTTCTCAGAATGTTCCAGTGGCTTCATTGGCAAGTACATCCAGCGATAAGCTTCGTGTCCTGGGTGAAACTTTATTGGATATTTTGCTCTACACTGTTTATGAAATCGGACCAGTGCCCAGTGTACGTATTCAATCATCTTGTGTTCTTGGAGTTTATGTAAAATGAAATACAAATATTGCATTTGATTATAATTCAATGTCTAACTTTACATCAACAGATACCAATATCACTGTGCGAAGTCTTCACGCCAACAATCTGTGAGAAATTCTTTCACTCCGTTTGTGTGGTAACACCTGTACCTCGATTACAACTTCACGCAGCAGCATTGTTAGCTCGTATGGCTGGTTATCAGTCATGGTGGGGCGATTTTCTGGCTAATACACTGATTAATCTATACTCAGCCTCCTCGACGCATATCTTTCCCCAAGACAGGTACGCTACGTATCTAATGTCTATTTTATTCCGAAATCTCAAACGCTAAAATGATATTCATCCTTTACTGTCTTGGTACGAGGCTTTATAGTAACAATCCTATTGTTCTTAGCACGCTTTTAATATAGTATACTTACATTTTCAAAATGTTCATAATTAATGTTATTAAGTGTGAGTCCCGATCGTGCATATGAAACTTATCTTATTAATGATTTTTAGGGTGTTCATATTGCTAACATTCCTTGGGCGTAAGTCATTGATTGCCGGAGCTAATAAATCCTCAGTAGTGGACGCGATGGTTCGTACGTTGGGTAGACTATTGGCTCCGTTATCCACTGGTCAGGCATCCAGCTCAAACCGACTGGATACAACCCTTATTGGCTGGGTTCTCCTTTTCCTATCCGTCTGCTTAGACACAACCGCTATTCATCCTCCCTGTAACGAAGAGAACCATGAGAGAAACAGAGAACAAGGTACTTACAGAACGAATAAATATTTATACTCGTTTAGAATGTCTGGCCTTTGGCTTGCCTTATATTCCTACAAGTATCAACGATTGATCCACGGTCGTCTATTAAAGGTCTCTCGTCTCGATGGGAATTCGTCCAAGGTGAATCCGCTATGCAACGTAAATTTGTTAGCGCCAGCAGGTCCTCTGCATCCCGAAATTATCGCAAAAAGCTACAAAAACGATTAATGCATCACAAACAGCAACTTCAGGATCTGGAACAGACGAAGAAAGCGTTCCACGTTTCCTCACAGGTGCAGGTTTGTGATTATTACTTAGGCCATAGACAATTTATTTAGTGTTTATGTGGGAGCATTTTTAAACTTAATATATATATATTGTAATATTGGTGTTTAACCTATAGATTTAAAGCTTTCAACCTAGAACTATGATTTTCAGTCGTGGTCCGCGCTATCCTCTCAAGCAGCTTCGTTATCGAGCAAGATAGAAGCGGCTGTCAAATCTCAGGAGCGCTTTTTTAAGAAGACCCTGAAGCAGCACTCTGCTAAACACTTTAAAGATCTTCTCAGCATCAGAAGAAATGAGATACAACATCTCACTCGAAGTCCTAGGTCTCAATCGCAACCTAGTACCAGGTTAATATCTAGTTCATATTGATTTTATTTATTACATATAAAATCCAATAACTTATTCGTTGAATCATACTAAATGTTAGTCGAGCGGAAGTGATAGAAATGCCGGATGTGGACTTCATGGCAAACCTTTCACATCAGTATGTTCTACCTGTGGCTCGCGGGCTCGTAGCTCTTCTACTAAACAATGCAGCAAACGTGGATATGTTCCTATTGACTTGCAAGGTATTTTTATGAAAATAACTTGTTTATAATAGCTATATTCGAATTTAGCTATGCCAGTCGACTCGCGTACAATCAGTACCCTGGAAGACGATGATACAAACGCAGCTTCATCGAGGTTATTTCATTAAACTTTGTACTTGTCGAACCCAGGTAGTGGCTAGGCTAGTGGTATCCACGCGTCCCGCAATTAGCTTGGGTGAGCTTATGACTGAGGATCAACTCCTAAAGTTAGTCAGGCTGGCTACTGGAACATCAGCTGCTGCATGGTCCTCGCACGCGGTCTCGTGTCTTCTCCAAGACGTGCTGGAAGGTATTACGATCCTCTTTTCTCGCAAACCCTTCCGGGTTGAGTGCACATTATCGCGATTGTATGTAGGTATACGATGGCTGTTAAAGTCACATCACGCAGCCCGTATTTATCTGCTGAAACTTTAGTCGTGCTCTCCTTCGCAGGTGGAAGACTATTTCCTAGAGCTTGTCCTATCCTCGAAGAAAGTCCTTCAGAAGAGAGTTTCGATACTCTGCCTCAGGATGAATCTAGAGCAAACGACGAAGATGGGGCTGGTGTTCCTGGCCCAAGTAGCTCCGGCACGACTCTTGGTAACGATGAAGGATTTGCCGAAGCCGACGCAGATGAGGATACGCAAGATAGCATTGTTGTCACACCTGCCACTGCTGCTGCAATTTCCAAGTCCAATGTATTCACTATATCTTCTATGTTTGAGTCTGATGACAGTGAATTGGAAGACTTCCTGGATGATATACTGGAACGCAGTAGAAATCTTTTGAAGAAAGGCAGTGCAGCTTCGAAATTCTCTTCAGCAAGCTCAGGGTAATTCTGTTTTCCATTTAACGTCAATAGTTTGTATGCACATTACTCTTAATATTAATTATAAACATTTATACGAATTTTAATATTACTTTTATATAGTATTTCTCTGGCTGTGGATGTGAGATTAGAATATGGTGTCGAAACTGGAGCTGAAATTGCTCTAAGAAGACTTTCGACCCTCGGCGCATACAATCTACCACTCAGCATAAATGCTACGATACAGGTAAGGAATACCTAGATTTTTAATTAGAATTTTAAATTACTCTATGAGGATTCTACAATGTGTAAAAATAATTTATATATGATAGCCTACGTCATCTGAACAAAATCGTGGCCCGCAAACATCGACGTCAAGAAATTCCACATGGAATGATAGAAATCAAGAAATATGGAATTCTACAGAGTCATCACCTTCAAGTTTGCCGATGCTGGCACGATGCTTTGACAAGATATTCAGTGATTTATACCTGCAGGTACGTACAGCTAACGATTCTACGACGATCTTCTTGATTATCAAACTTTTATTCTAATGAGATACTATCTTATCAGAGCTCTGGGACCAGCTTAGAACTCGTCTTACAATTATGGTTGACATTAAACTTGGATGCTGCGACTGAAACTTCCTCCAGCAACTCTACACAGTTTGATCCATCTTTAACACCAGTTATCCCGCTCAATTCCGCAAGTATATCCAGCCTTATATCAGCTCTTTCATGGTAAGTGAATTTTGTTAACATTTAAAAGCTACTTAGTAAAAAAAACTAGTACTCAAAGTATCCAAATTTCTAAAAGATATTTGTTATAACGAATTCGTTTAATATTCAGGCGCCGAGAAGTCTCTCTACGAGCCTGGTGTTTAGCGCTACAGTGCTTAACACTGGCCAGCAATCAAGCGCCGCAAACAATACAAGATCCAACTGAACCATCAACCAGCAGTCAAGCACGAGATGGCGCGTTAGGTGGAGTAGCCAGCTGTATCGTTAAAGAATGGAATTTGGGAACCATGCTGTTGCGGCTTTTATCCGGTAATGGATCATTCGCCGACACGACTGATAAACAATACGTTATGGTAAGAAATAATATTGTTATAATAAAATATCAAGTACTTTCTATTCATTTTGATGTTCCAAATTCTGAAATTCATTATTTCTTTAGGCTGGACCCACGGTGTGTCAAGCATTACAAGATTTTCTGGCGAGAATAGTCATGCAAAGTGATCTTACTACACCAGGCGTAAATCTAGAGAATGAACTGAATGAAGTTTTACTTTGGGTTGTGTATCAACTAGTACAGCCAGGAGGGGCTTTGGTCTCTCGTCGAGGTCCTTTAGATGCACAGTGCAAGATTATTACGTGTCTTATTAATATAAACTTTACGAATACTAATCTGGGCACTGCCGTAAGCATCTCAGAGTGCGTCGGTGTTTTAGTTTCTACGTATGTAAGAGGAGCCGGAGGTACTATGAAATTTGATGCTATAATTCTCAGTAACATTGTTTCTTTAATTCGTTATTAAATGCTATTATTTTTTATCAACAGTGGAAGCTCAATGCGGAGGAGCAGTAGACTCTGCTAATCAATCTGGGGGATTTGGTGGATTATTTGCTTGTGTCCTCGGTGGAGATTCGAGGCACGGTCGTCCTGCATCTTGGGATACACTCGTAGTAGCTCTTATAAAGCTAGTCTGCAGACTCGTTCAAACTCCGCTACCAAATGTGAGTTTTTTCCATTAATTGTCAATGATTCATTTTTTTTTTTAATTTTAATATATATTTATTCTTTGTATTTACTTTGTAGGCTCGACCTACACAACGGGACGGTGCATCTGATATGGAAGTTAGTGAAGCAAACCAACGTCCTGGTACTAGTACTGGCGCTGATGAGCAGGCGAAAGTCAATATCTCACAGACTGATGAAAGTAAAGTAGCCGAGCAACAAACTTCAATGCGACTACAACAAAGTACAACGACAAAATTACGTGTGCCATGCGTCGCAGATACTGGTGATTATCCTCTGATACTATATTAACTCTGTTAAGATAACTTATTTCCACGCAATCTGACAATTCTTATTTTCTTTCCTAAACTGGTTAGTGTTGCAACATGAGCCGACCATGATGCGATTACTAGAAGCATTAGGTCATAGTACCGGATCTTCTTTAGCCATGCTATTGGGTGAGGGAACCGGAACCGGAACTGCCACAGAACTTGGGGATCCAGCCTCTATTCCTGATGCAACTTTCCAATTATTAACGACACTTACCAAAAAAGCCAGTAACCACAGGCTGGTTCTCAATCCATTGTATCGATACTTGACGTCATGTCAGGTCGACGGAATGCAATTATCAGAACCACTTGTCTGGTATATCCTAAAGGTTCTTGACAATGAAGCTTCCCTGGCTGTATTCACAGCAATGGGCGGTGTCAAAGTACTTTGTGAAAACTTGGTTAAGTCTAGCAGCAATGGCAACGGTACTTGCTCCGTTGCTCCAGGCGTAATCGCTCTGGTTATGCAGCATCTTTCGAACTCACCAAGCCTTGCTACAGCGACAACATCCAGCAGTAAAAAATCCAGCAATACTTTGGAACCCTACGAAGATGGTTTAGTCAACTTTGCACCATTGGGAACGATATCCTGGCTAAATCCTACAGCGCAACCTGCTGACGTTCTCATTCAGAGCTCAGCATCTCATAGACGAGCTAGGACTCCTGCATGGTCATATCATTTTTACCCTGATGAAGCCTGGGTCGATCTTGTCATTACTCTACCATGTGCAATTTTATTGAGAGAAGTAGAATTACAACCACATCTAGCATCTCTTGCCAGTAAGTTTTTAATAAATTAAAGATTTACTTAATACTAGTTCAGAGACAGTCACATATAATTTATAAATGAAACTTTTATAGCTTGTCCATCCGCTGTGGCACTAGAGATTTCACGAGAAGGAAATACTGGTCTTACACCAGTATGTCCTCCTATGCCGACTGCGGGCCTAACCTTCATACGCCTGACATTATCTCAGCCGGAAGTCGCCACTGCTGTACTGGTACGGTTATACAAACCGCGAGATTCGACTAATATAGGTCTGAGTCAAATACGATTAATGGGTACTACAACTTTTGGTGAAAGTAAAATGAATAACGAGGCTATAGACGAAGAACAGCTTACAAAAACTAGGTAAAAAGATCTATTGATTTAAAAAAATTATTTTTATTACTATCAATTCTCTTTTCCGATATTAATCATTATGATATTGACCACATTTTTGTAGCTTGGGATGGCTAAGGCTGGTGCGTCAGTGTTTCTCAGTGAGCAGTCTGAACAGCAGTTTATTCGAAGATGTACTTCATTCTGCAGCCTCTGTCGAAGGCTTAGTTGAAGCTTGTTGCAATCTGTTGCTGCTTCCTGCTCCATCATTATTTACACCCAATTTAGAAAAGGTACTTTTACAACTAGGATTACACTTCCGTGAACTGGGACTGAGGCTCATAAATCTTCTATTGAATAATAGATCCACACCACTCCTTCACGGTAATACATTGCATTCATATAATTCAACGAATCATCTTGATTGCGGAATCGATTATATCCGAAACTTATACTATTTTATTAGGACCTGGCGCTTCTCAGGAAACATCAACAGTACAGCTTGTTGTAGAGTTACTTCAACAGCTTTGTTCTGCCCAAGATGCGAGCACTGAAGCGCGCATGTACGCCGTACTCTCTTGGCTACACAGTTCGGCAGTCAATGCTGTAGCACGATCACCAAATAATCCTAATACCATATCACCACCAGCAGTCTATATTCATTGCATATCATCCATAATTTGGAAAGCCTATCGACAACAGGATCTTAACTATGATTTGCCATCCTTGCTGACTGATGATCTGTTCAAGTATGATAACATTCATTACTTTCAGAAGGTAGCCCTTTTTTTTTGTTTATTGTACACGATTCTTTTTTTTCATTAACAGTGCACTATACCAATGGACTTTGATACTGGGAACGCATTCGGCCTTGAAACAAGCTATTGATTCTGCTCTATGTGCATTTTGCTATGTGAGACCGTCCCTTATTCCGATGCTTCTTCAGAGAGTACATATTCTCGTGCCCAATCTGGCTACTGATCACTCTGCATCTATTTCGGATGATCGCAAGGAGAGCGAAGGTCAGACTGATGACCGGAAGAGTGAAACAGATGCTGAAGAATGGTACAGCAGGCTTGTATTACCTGATTGTAAAAGATTGCACTTGACAGAGGGTCAGTTGCTGACTGTTGCTGCTGCAGCACGATCACCCTCTGGCATCCGCCAGCTGATTGATTCCGGTCTTCCTGCATCGCTCACAGCATCCATTACAGGTAATATTTTATTCAATAGAAGAAGAACGAATGATGATTTTGGTCTCCAGCTAATAACATGGTGTTTGTATTTGTAGAATTTTGTAAACTAGAAAAACTAAAGCAACAACAACGTAAATCATCGACGGAGGAAAGACCTCAAGGTGTTAGTGCTGAAAGTTTGAGTTTGACAGACAACGATAAAGCTGGAGAATCATCTGGCCAATCCGATAACAATTTTAGTAAGTTAACGTATATTTTTCATTGTGATTTTTTCAAGTAGTTGAAGATTTTTTTCATATTGGAAATTTGTTTTTAGATGGTCTTTCGATGACCGAGCCCGACAGTATAGCTGTAGTATTGGAATTTTTGTCTCTCGTCTGCTCCGAAGCCAGAATGCGAGATTGGCTTGGAAAAGAGGGTCGAGGATTTTGGCTTCCTTTGTTGTCTCTCCTAAGCAATCGACCTATTGAGAATCCATCTGCTTCCATTTCCAGGTAAGAAGTCATTTATAAATCAGTATAATGTAACTCATGTCTTAAAAATATTGTATCACATGGACATGCTTTTTATTTCTCAGGTGTTCAAAGACCAATGTGTCCTATGCAAGTCTGGAAAGCGCCATGATTAAATTCTTATCAAGATGTTGCTGGTGTCATCCCGTCAATCAGCACTTACTAGCTGAACTATTGACGGATGTGATATCCCAGCAAAGAGCACCACCATGTAAGTATAATCCTAGTGTCACGTTACATAACAAAATATACAAAAATATTCATCTGATTATTCCAAAAAAATTATCCTATTTAGCTGTACGCCATCTCCATGGAATATCTGGGTTCACAAGACGTTTGATCCTGCAACTATTATTAGAGGGTGAAAAAGTTTTGGTATCGGTAACGTCTGAATCACCAATGAAAGTATCGAACACATCCATGAACCATAATACACCATCGATGCCACCGCATCCAGCATTCCCACTGGGTCATTATCATCAGCTTCTTTATATGTCAATTCACGCAACAGTGGCTGATATATTACAACAAGTATCAGGTAATTCAATCAAATACTATGGTACCAGGATATGAATCAGGAAGAATAGTAAATTCGGACAATAGAGTGTAAAGGAAGGCAGGAATATTCGCGAGCCGAACGGTTAATAGACGTGGGTAATTGAATAATGAACGAATAACGGATACAGTTATGGTAATACAGGTACTTGGCTACTTTTGCTACTTCCCAATACCGATAAGGGGAATGATGCTAGTACAAGCAAGTCTAATAGCTCACGCGAGCGTTGGGAATCGGGCATGGCCTTGGCGGTGGACATGCTGAGTGTTGCGGCTGGAAACACGGCAAAGGATAAGAGGGCTAAAGAAGCTTCGAATAGATCGCAGGCTCGCGGTCCTGTCATAAGAAAGGCCCGTTTGAATTCCGGTACGACTTACATTTTGCTTTCACATACGTCACCTTTCCTCATACGTACCGTCAATTCCGAAAGTATCGTTCGTCCGTTAAACCGTTATTGGTCCGATAGAGAAACGTCTTTCCCTTTTCGAAATATATCTAAGTAATGCGTTCCTCTAAACATTTTGAGAATAATCAAGCTTTCTTATTTTATCAACAGATGGTAGTACAGCTGGATCTAAAGGCGCTAGTAATAATCAACCAGGAACGTCTTCATCGAGTAACTCTAATCAGCAATATCTGACGCATTCGTCGCGTCCCGATACGTCATTGCCATCACAAATGACAATTGCGCAACTTTTGGCGATTGCCGAGGACACTGGATCATCTCTGTCTAAACCATGTTTACAGTTGTCGTTGCGACAACGTAACAAAGATACCAAAGGTAAGGATATGACGTTATTTTTAAAAAAATAATTGAATGACCTTATTTTGTTTCTTTTTCTTCTTCTAGATGATCTGGTTAAGCAAAACGACATAGAGCTGCTGTATTACAGGAGTATAAGTAGTTCACTTGAGGTGTTTAGTGGTGGAGGTGGTTTAGCTGTTCTGGCTAAACATCTTCCTCTAGTATATCCAGACGCTGGTAGATCACCACCCCATATGGAAAAATCACCATCACCAGAACAGCCTGATGCCGATTGGGTGAAAGTCGAGGCGAGTGGTGACGTTTACTATGAGGTTCCGGATGAAGGTGGAAATCCTGGAACATCAAGGATACCGCCACCGGCACCACATGTTCCACCCCATTCGTTAGCAGCGTTTGGACTCTTCCTGAGACTTCCAGGATATGCCGACGTTCTGTTGACCGATAGAAAGCGCGCTCAATGTTTATTAAGACTTGCGCTAGGAGTGTCCGATGATGGTGATGGCGGAGATGTTCTAGCTTCACCTTTGGCTTCATCTCTTCCGACCTATCCATTCCTGGTTTTGAAACATTTACTGAATATAACGCCACCTACAACGGACGATGGTTTACTTCTACGACGTACGACCATTGAAGTGGGAGCTGTTTTACTATTGCTGAACTGTCTAGCAATATTCACACATCAAACGGGACACAATGAGGGATCTGAACAGAGATTAGGTCAGAGTGGAGGACGTAGCGATGACAAGTCGCATCTTTATTGGGCTAAAGGTACTGGCTTTGGTACTGGTTCTATCCAACAGTCCTGGAATGTGGAACAAGCTCTACTGCGTCAACGATCTGAAGAGGAACACGTTACGGTTCTACTTCAAGTACTGGCAGGCTACGTGGGCCCTGGCGGACAACCGCAAAGAGAATTACCTGCTCCATTTACTGACTTATTGGCACGTTCTTGCTTACTTCCGGCACTCTCGTCTTATCTCAGAAATGATTCTGTTCTTGACATGGCCAGACATATCCCTTTGTATTGTGCAGTCTTGCAACTGCTGACATCCATGGCTCTTTCAAGTCAATTGGCACCACTTCTTCTACCTAGAGGTGGAAGGTCTGGAGAGCCTTCTATAGTATCTCTTTTATCCAGTATGAAAGTTTGCGTGGACACATACGTGCATAAAATTAACCGTACTCGGGGTAACAAATCGAAATCTGCCTCAAAATATCCAGATGATACAGAACAGGATGAGGGTTTAGCTACCCTGATACCATATATCCAGGACAGTGCAACTATTGTTCAAAACGCTACTTCAAAGCTGGCCAGTATTGGTGAAGAATTAGCTGGTCCCAGTCCTACAGCCCCGGAATTGCCACTACGATCCATAGAACAGCGATACCTTGAAGTGATGAAGAATCTGCAGTTTGGTAAGAGATTTTGCATAAAAATACTATGGTCTATTTAATTTTTATTAAAATAAACATATATAATCGCACTATTTTTTCTGACATACTTATAGATACATATGAGATGATAACAGAAAATCTGGATGGTTCTGGATATTGTTTCGCTGTGTCTTATCATTTTGAATCCAATATGAGAGCCGCAGGCGAAAGGAGTCATCCAGCAAGAGTAAAACGATTAGCACAGGAAACTGTCACACTCTCTACTGCACTTCCCTTATCGTACAGCAGTAGCGTATTTGTCAGATGTGATGCTGATAGGTTGGATGTTATGAAGGTATGATACTATTTGTTTAAATATGGTAATATATTTTTATTTCTACAGCAATTCAATTATCTCTAATATCTTCTTTAAAGGTACTAATTACCGGTCCAGCTGAGACACCTTATGCTAACGGCTGCTTCCAATTCGACGTGTACTTCCCACCGGACTATCCTAACAGCCCTATGATGATAAACTTGGAAACTACAGGTCGTCACACAGTCCGTTTCAATCCAAATCTATACAACGATGGTAAAGTGTGTCTCAGTGTCTTAAACACCTGGCATGGTCGACCTGAAGAGAAGTGGAATGCCCACACAAGTAGTTTTCTACAGGTACATTAAAAGAGAGCAAGATATGCGGTATTATACTAAAATGACAGACCAATTTTGATAATTATGTCCTGTTCTATTTCTTAAAAAGGTTTTAGTCTCCATACAGTCATTGATCCTGGTATCGGAGCCATACTTTAACGAACCAGGTTACGAGCGATCGCGTGGCACTACCAGCGGCGCTCAATCTAGTCAAGAGTACAACGCCAATATTTGCCAGGCCACTGCTAAGTGGGCGATGCTTGAACAAATACGAAATCCTTGTCCCTGTTTTCAAGAGGTAAGTGATCGCTTGTGATATTATTTAAAACAGAATCCATAGTATTTAAATGATTTATCTTTCATTAAAAAAATTTAATATATAATCATCAATTTGTCCAGGTGATACATACTCACTTTTGGATAAAGAGACACGAAATTGTCGCACAATTAGAAGGTTGGATAAGGGATATGGAGCTACATGGGGCGGATCGTCGATCAGGTCGAACCATCTCTCTAAACGCTCTGGCTCTGAGGGTACGTATAAAATAAAAAATATATTAAAAATAAGTAAAGACGGATCTTATCTCCAAATATAATTCTCACTTCCAGAGACACTATAGGCTACTACGAGAAGAGCTGAATAAACTGCCAACACCGGAGGGTCTAGAGGATCTTGTGGAACCACTACCATCGCCCGGATCACCTCTAGAGCTTTCAGGAACCCCGGGTACACCAAGCACACCTCCAATGGCCACAGTACCAGCGACCACATCTATGAGCACGGTGATAAGTAATGCCATCGCTCCAATTGATAATGCCGGTACTAGCAATCACGTGCACCACGACATCGACACTGATGTAGAGATGGAGAAAATGGTCTCAAAAGTGTGTGAATAGTTAAAGGGTGTTAATAGAGAGATTGTTGGACATTTTGAAAAGTCTATTGTTAGTGTTATGAACAATACACGGTATGTGACTACGGAGCAGCATGTACAATTAAGCACGGCTGAGAAATTGACGAATTGCCAGGAAGCAGCAAACAAGGCGAACAAGAAGATGATAGACAGGAAGCGGGGTGTAAGCCGGAAACAGAGAACAAAAAATACATGAAGGGAAAATGAAACAGGGAAAATAATATTGTCAAATGATAATTATGCAATGATAATGACAATGACTATTCAAGGACGCATGACGGAACGAATACGAAGTTATACGTGACGAAAAATAATAAAGAGTCGCAAATAACGAGAAAATGGCGCGCGGGCACATACGCGTATTAGGTACTTTGTCGTAGCTGCTGCTATACTATATGTACACTGCATTCTAACTCTGTACTTTACTATTATAAGTACCAATTGTTACTCCATATTTATTATACATGTTCCTCGTTTATGTAGCTGGGTACTTCCCTACGTGCAATGCGACTGAACTTCAGCGAGAGTGCTTTTAATGAGTGGAAAACAATTCTTATTATTAGATTGCGCAAGGAGGCGTATACTATACGCAAAATGGAATTCAAGAAGAAAAAAAAAGAGAAAGTACCGCTTTGTCATATACTTTATCTTATTTCAAATTCGCGCAATATTTCAAAAACGGTTTAGTTATATTGTCGCAAGAGATTGGTTCACAGCAAAAGTAACGGTATTGAAAAAAAGCATATTAAATTTGTATCTTTTTTTAAATTATAAACGAACGTACGATTAGTCCTTTCAAAAGTAATTGACTTTGACTTAAACAGAGACAAGCGCCATCAATCAATTTCACATTTATTAATTTTTTGTCCATTATACGTAAAAGACCATACGATTTTCGTCTCTGCAATATTGACTTCCGGACTTTCCGTAAAGTGCGTTTGATGTAGATAGCATACTTGATACGCGATGATACCTTGGTACCGATTGCGATGAACTCCAGTACCGATGATCGTTTACTGTAAATAATCGCCAATAAGCAAACAAAAGATCCCATACCCGTCTCTATGTTTATAATTGCGAATTACTAATGAGAGTGTCCTTAAGTGTATTACATCTGACGCATGGACTCGTAAAATGATTGGATATATGAATCACATATGATGCATGGGAAAGTGAATGTGTTAATAGTTATTTATAATAAACAATTATTACCACGTCACTACATGCCATGATTAATTACAAAAATTTTTTCCGTAATATCAACTAATAATATCCTTCTCCCACTTTATACTAATAAACGTCACTTTTAATGCTGGGTTCCTTAACTTATTTTTACATCATTATTTCAAGGATGCTGCATACATCTCATTCGAGATGAAATAAAATACAATGATGAATACACAATGTATGACATTTATTCATCTGCATCCTTAAATCAGTCTACGCACGTAGATATTCAGATTCTATCAATAAACTACATTAATTGTTAGGTCTTTTTAAAATCTTCAACTATACTCGTACGTCAGTTGCGACCAATGTATTTGGGTAACTGATTTTTCCAACCTATTTATTTTTTCATGTTTTATTATACATATATATGTCAAACAGATGCCTATACGTTTATACGTATGCATACATGCTGTCTTGCTATAGGTATATATATATATGATCTTGCATGAGTTACCTGTTAACTTATACTGGTTCAATGCTCTCCCGGATTCCTAATTATTTTCGCAGAAGAGCTTCGTGACCTAAGGAGGGAAGCAAGTACTCATCTCTATTTTTATATCTTCGTTAATTAACTGAAGAGAATAATATCCGACTGATTCTAGTACACGATGCCAACGACAAAATAATATGTACAGCAGAGTTATCTTTTATATCTTTTTCGTTATTATAATATAAAAATTCCCGATACTAAGTTTTTGGACATGGTTGTACCTAGCGATTCAGTCTAAGGAGCGATTCTCGTTCAAGGGAAATCTATGATCCAGAATAGCAGAATCGTTAAATTAATATCATTCTAGTAAACATCACTGCGACAGGATCAACGAGATCAAATCCAGTAAGTCAATATATCTATTTTATGTGAATGTGATATGATAAAATGGAAGTTACGTAATTTCGCGATCGAAGCACTCGTCGATATTGTATTTGGTGACGGAACTTATGGATAACCTAAATTTACAAAGAAAATTAAAATATTCAATAGGATTGAAGCTCGTGATAGTATTGTGCGCTCACAATCAATAAGGACGTATTTTATTAATTTTTCAAAGAAGATGGATCCATTTTTTAATTTTTGATTTTATTTTATAAATATACTCATACGTATGGTCGTACATATATTCATATGTTTATATGATATACGGACTGACAGAGTGTTGATTTATAATCCAATCATATTTTGTATTTACACATCGATCTAATCTTTCCTCGAACATTCTCATTTTAGAAAATTTGTTACTCCACCTGATATGCCGTGAGTCTTATCAGCAACTATCTCTTTCATCCGTTCGTTTCTTAGTGTCGTAAATTTTTTCACATTATTATTCTAGCTTGTGCTTTATTGTTTTTATCGACTAATGTTCCTTTTATTTTCTTATCATTATCATTTCGTCGTTCATAATGGTGAATTTTTTGCTATACGCTATACGTGACTGTACATCTACCAGGAGCGGATCTGTTTCTTATTGGTTAAGCATCGTAATGACTAGATGGCAAATCTTACTTTTCTTATAGCTAAATAAGATATAAATAAAAATATACATAACGCGTATCTTGGTCACGTGTACATGTGGTGGACACTATTCTCTTATGTTTTCGACATTTCCATACGGTATAACAAAGAAAACATATCTAAAAATATTGAAATACGTAATTAAGGAATAAATTAATATAACAGGGATCGGCATACCAATTAACAAATATATATATATTCTCGTCTTTAATTGAATAAAGTTCATTAGATTCAACGATTCGAGTCAATAGCGCGTACATTTCTCACAAATCAGTTCAATGAAATGGCGAAGGATATTACGATGGATACTTATTGTTATATTTTAATTAGTCATCATTGTGCTTTTCAGTGTACCATATTATTAGCAAAACCCGTTGCGATTTTTCTTTCCTATAACGATGCCTTACAGGACTTTGCGATATCCGGCGATCAAGATTTAACGGATGAAGATCGGTAATGAGAGTTCGAAGCTTTCACAAGTATTATTATTCTGGTCCGGACTCTTTTACTTCTTTGATAATTCCTTATCTTCTTGACCCTGATTGGTCTGCAGATTAATTCGATTTTTCATCTCGGTAACCAATCTGTCTGCGTGTGATCCACTTGATGAATTGGATGGTACCGATGACGCCAGATGGGATACCAGAGAAACTGAGGCGTCGCTGATGGCGTTCAATTGCTTCTGTAATAATACAAAAAGATATATATTAAAAAGAGGAATGTTAAATAATTATTATATTTCACAGTATTCAAAATAAAAAGAATTGTACTAAGTGAAAATTATGATTTTTTTGGATATGCTTTAGAATATATACCATTTAATAAAATGACTTTAACAGTCCAAGTGCGTGCCCGTAAAGGGTAGTGAATTGGTTAGATTGGCTCCCGTAAATCTTAGGGTACGAGTACTTTTTTTTTTTTTGAAAAATTTGACTATGATATTTCATTGTTTATAGATTCGCTCCAAAAATAAGTCTTGATCGAATGTCTAGTGTCTTTGATCAATTAACACGTTAAAAGTTGAACTAACTTTGTTGACCTTTCCATTCACGCCACGTGATACTGCCAAACCGAGTGAAGAGGAAGAATTGTTCACAAATACGCGGACTTTGGGCAGCTGCCCGGAGCCGCTTTTTGGATTGAGTCTCGGAGAGATTATTGATCAATATTTTAATATATTGATCAATTATTTATAGGGGATAATGTTATTAAAAGTTAATTTATTCTTTCTTTTTATAAATCGTCCGGGGAAAAAGATTAGGTTTGTTCAAATCAAATGTAACCTAATTTGATCTGATTGGATACGAAGTTTGTCTCAATCAGATCTGGTCAGACCTGACCAGACATGACAGATCTAGCTAAATCTGAGTGAACTTGATCGTGTCTGGCTTTCAGATCGGCTCAAATATAACTAGACGTGACCAAATCTTACGAGATATGCTTATATCCGATTGGACTTCGTATCGATTTCTGGACTCATATCACTTATATTTCGTCACATAATTATTTATCATAAGACATAAAATAATATAATATCACAATATCGCAAGCTTCGACGTTATCTGAATTTCGTCCATATCTAATCAGATCAAATTTGATCTAAAGAGATCTGATTGGATGTGGACAAAATTTAGATCTGATTGATCTCAGCAGATCTAATTTTTTTTTCCGGGCTACCAATTTAATTTTGAAAAGCAAAGTATCCTTTTTACATCCTCCGCTGCTTCATCGTCAAACGGAAAGTTTAGTGTCGGTCATCGATGTTCGACACGGCCCATGGTATGTTAATAAAATTGGCAACTACATAAAAAACTTAATACGTTGTTTAAACTGAATTTTGTTGTTGATACACCAAGCATCATTAGGAAATTTAAACTCGAATAAACAACTCGGAAATGAAATCTCAACTATAAAGTTGAGAGAAAGAGATTTATTTTTGTAGATTTAATTAACGATCCCTGTTACTAGGATCCTTTGAGTGCGGACGTAATGTACTGTTGGGAAAGTTGGACTAACAGTAAAGAGGGTCTCCGATTCGCTTGGGTAACTTTTATTTACAATATGCTAGAAAGTTCTTGGACAAGTCTCGTGGTAACTTTTAAGGCGCTAAGTTAGATTTTGCCGATTCCACGCGTGGTAGCCAAGAAGTGCAGAGGAGGACAGCTTTTTCAGGCTTTGTTACTGTCTTACTAAAGCGCAGTACACCCGATTCTGGAAGAGACAGAACGGATAGAGAAAGGCTTGCAGATGGACATTCAATTCTGAGAACAGGTAGACCTCGACTTTTCTTCTGTCTACTATTAAATAGCTACGCGTGTCCTTTGGGATTTTCACATGTTACTTCATATAGAAACTATGTGGGATTCGAGGAGATAAAAGCTAATTAGATCACACGCATGCACTAGAGCTCTACTTACTTTGATATTATTGACATTCTCAGTGTGGGACCAGGATGCTGCACGTCTGAGTTCCTCTAACTGATCCTCCAGAGCATCAGTTGAATTTCTTTTGATGGAGGCGCCATCTTTTTTCCATGTATATATTGCTGGCTCTATACCTGCGCGTAACTGACTGCTAGGATGATCTGGATCAGTAGAACCAGTAATTGATTGCTGTGCAGGTGTCTCTTCTATGTCGTTTTTGCGCCATTGGTTTCCATTGTACTTTGGCGACACGGCGGACATTGCTATAAATGCATTTCTAGATCTACTACCATCCATGGATGATCCTGTATTCATGACTGGCATTGCTGTTACTCTGTGATAAGCAAATTGCTTCCACTTGGGCCAAGTTCCCGGTGGTGAGGATTTCCCAAAGTTGTTCCAATTCTCAGTGATCTTTGACGGCCATGGTCCATCTTCCGATTTGGACGGCCAAGTTCCTTGACTTTCGGATACGGACGTGGGCCATCGTCGTCCAGCATCTTCTATGTCTCTGTTGTAGGAATCGAGAGCCTTTAAATTATACGGTTTCCATGTGGATTGATCAGCAGGCATAACCCATGCGCCGACTGATTGGATTTTTGGTGATATTGCGGACTTTTCTTGCCATCCTTTACGACTGTTATCTACGTTCCCAGTCCAGGATCTTGGGTTATCTTCGAGGGTCAAAGCTTTAACAAGATCGACATCAGGATTATAGTCTTTGCTCGGCTTAATCGGCCATTGTTTTCCAGGAGTCATCTTCAGGGGCCAGGAAACAGGCTGTTTGAGGGAATCTTGTACCTTTGGAGCGACATCCTTGCTGATCTTGACGGCCTTGTATTTCGCATTGGAGGGCTGATAAGACTTGAAGTCACTTGTTGATTCTTTATCGGATAAAAGTCTTCCCTGCTTGTCTAGCCCCAACTTTCTCACCAGATCAGCATTTGGGTTGTAGGATTTCCCATTCTTGTCCTTAGGCCAGGGTTTCGTACCGGGCAATTTAAACGGCCATGTAGCGGGATCTGAAGTGAGACTATTCCAGGACTTCATAGTGACCTTGGGAGCTAGACCCTTATCCTTATCCTTATTTTGCTTGACAGCATCTCTACTCAGTTCAGATCGATTTCTACCTTTATCCCAGCTAGATTCCTCCCTATAATATCCTTTATTTTTATCTGTTGTCGGCCATGGTGAACTTGGTTTACCGGGCCAGCTGTTGGCTACCCCGGCCACCGTCTCCCAAGGTTGCTGTTCGGTATGACCACGTTGCGGTGACCGAGTCTTATCAGGATCGGCCTCAAGATGCGGCCAGTAATCTCTATTACTTTGCCAAGGTCTAGAATCGTCAACCTGAGGCCACAGCTTCAAATCACCAGAGTCTCTCCATCCCCACTTACCGGATTCCACCGATCTGTCATCCGTTTTCCAACTCGGTCGGCCATATTTAAATTGTGCAGTATCCTGCCAGCTCTTACTAGCTGCGTATTCTAGACCCGGTGGCCTGTACTCATGATTCTGAGCATAACTCTCCGGAGGGATGAATTCTTCCTCACGACTTCTTCCACGTGAAAATTCTCTAGGTGGGCTATACTGCCCGTATCGTTGATAACTTCGCTCAGGAGGATCGTAATCGCGGATCCTACTGTTCTCGCGTTCGGTAGCATAACCTGAAACGGACTCACGATGTGGTACTAATGTTTGATGTGTATTCACTTTTCCATAATGAAGATGTCTAGGTTGCGTGTATTCCCGTGCCGACTCTAGCATCAGTGCTTGACGCTCGGTGTTCAGAGCTTTGTGCTCCTCCCGTTGCTTGCTGTCCAGGATTTGTTGTCCGAATTCTCGTGCCGGCGAAGGTTTCAGACGTGGATTGGACGAGAAACGAACTTTCGCTACATTTGGATCATCCTGCAGATTCCATAACCATGGTGGTCCAATTAACCTCTCTGCGACTAGTCGCCATTCCATAGGCGTCGTCAACCAGGGCGTCTCCGTTGTGGTAAGCAAGGACGGTGTACTTGCTATTGCTGTTGTACTGATGGGATAACGATGCTGACGCGGCTTCTTCTTCTTCTTCTTTTTCAATTTCTTTCTATTTTTTTTCGGAGTGCTCGACATCGGTGATATAGTTGTTGTCGACGTCGATGTACTTATCATCGTGTTCAAGTCGAATCCTCTCTTCTGCGCTTCTAAAGCTCGACGAGAAAGCTCCAGACCCCCCTCGACGTCCACTGCAAAAGGTATTAATTCTTCGTTGCTTTTTAAAGATTTCGAATGCTATATCTATTTTTCTTTTTTTTTATTGCACGCAGCTGTCTGTATTCCCGCTTATTAATCTCCGCTTATCGATATTTCAGTAATAACCTAACCTGAATATTTTCTGCTATCAATCAGCAAAGGTATCCAAATAACAGTTATTAGACAGCTATTCCTATCATGGTGGATATTTAATCATTCTCGCGTATGAAAAATTCCTTTGGGCTAAATACAATTGATATTAATTATCATGGATAATTACAGTCGTTATTCTATCTAACGAATCATTTGTTATTGTCAGTTTAATTCGAATTTTTTCCTTTATTCAACGAACGCGCAAGGGTTCGCAATAGGAAAACTGCTAATTTCTTATTATTAGAAACAGCTATACACAAAATTAACACGTTTGATTTGTAGATAGTAAAAGAAATAGTATAACGACAACTGTAAAGTGATAAATGTAAATAATTGTCTAACGAGTTACGTTATATTTAGCTTCCTCGTGAGAGAGTTTCTGCATTTAAATGACGAGTATAAGAATGGGGACTACCAGAACTACCCTTATCGACGTTTTCCCGCGTGACGCAAATTTTTAATTAGACGTTAGGAAACCGTTCGTAGCGAAGTCGCGATGTAGTCACCTCAAACATTTCACACTGAATTTCTCGAGTGATTCCTTAGAAATTCTTTGAATGTGCACGGTTCAAAGTCCAAGAATGGAAATTGAAATAGAATAGACTTGAACTTACTGAGCAGTCTGTGCACGCGTTCCCATCTTCGAGGATTCTCAGCAAGCTTCACCAGAAGCTTCAAAAGACTTTCAGCCAGGGCGCCTTCCTGAGCCTGAAAAGAGACGAATAAAACATTTGACGAAATTAGCCTCTCGCCTTTTATCAGACTTGACTTTAATGGTGAAGTTTTCTTGACTTTAAATCAGCTTCTTCCGAAATTCAAATCTTCGAATTTTTTTATTTTATTTTCCCTTCTAGTCTCAACGTGACTTCAAGCTTCGCTCGTCGCAACGTATCAGGATACGAAATGTACATTTCATACCACATCAAGCATGATCTGTCATAGTGACTCGATAAATTGAATAATCGAGGGGAGAAAAAAACCTGGTAAACGTTCAACTAGATTTTATTATAAAAAACGAGGGATGGTTAATAAAATAAATTATCAACTACCTATGGGTTTTGAGGAATTTCAAAGTGATCTGATGACTATTAGGATGCCTTTATGCTATTTGGTAGCCTGGTATTTCACCGTACAGTAAACAAGAGATGAGGAGTAGAACTGGACGATGTGGAAGGAGCATATTGTTTCGGAATCGGGATTACTTAGGAAGTAGATTGGCGTGTGATGAAATCACGACTATGGGAAATAACGCGAGGAGGATAGGAAGGCTGATTTGCCGGACGAGTAAAGTGTAATTAACTTTGATGAGAATCGTGACAAAACCATCTCTATTCTGTGAATCTTATTTTCTTAATGTTTTCTTTTTTACATTTTATATCCCTTCAGTTCGTATACCTGTGCACGTATCCGCCGGCCTATCCTGCCATAGATCCCTCAACAGGGTGTATCCATTTATTTCCAGTAGCCGTTACATGAGAATTTCCAGTTATTTAGCGATCATCGATAAAGTCTAAGACTTCTAATAAGATAGTAAAAGAGTTATCTCTGTACGGATGAGCGAATTATGACACTTCCTTGGAAAATTGCTGGGTTGGCCGAAGCCATAAGGGATGTTCCACTTCATCATATCTTTCCAATGATTTTCTAGAGTTCTTGACCTCCCCGGTTGGCTCCTACAACTAACCCAAGAAGCGCTGACTAGGCTGGTGCCGACATCACCCTATAGATTAACGGTTCAGCCGTTATAGAGGTTTATACGAGAATCTGGAATCTGTCCGAACTTGCGCGCGATTAAGTACGCAAAATCTTTAAATCCTATTTCACTCCTGCAGCTTTAACTTCCGTCTTAGCCCATTTGACATCCCTGAGAGCAGGTTTACCTAAATTGGCATCCCTCTTCTTAAATATTCGTAATTCGCACCTCGTTTCCCTCCCTTAGTCGAAATAGAGAATCAGCAAAGAGCTATGGAATTCAATTATTTGGAAGAGAATTCGAGGCATGGATGGTAAAAGCATAGAGGGTATGAACCAACAGCAGGCTTTACAGCTTCTGAACACAACGAGGAAGCCGATGTAGTAGTTCCGGAGAGGGATTTTCTCGACAATTCCCAGAGAGCATCGTCACTGGGTCTAGCTGTCCTATTAGCGTTCATTATGCATTACACGTTTCGGTACGGAAGCGGGCTCGACGTTTCTCTCGTGATTTTTATTTTTTAAAGAACTTAGCAATCCTCGTGGGATAGGTTGGTGCGACGGTGGAAATTGGTGAGTAAGGGAAGTGTCACTGCCACGGCAGCAATTTAAAATCAGAGCCGTTTTATTAAATGAATCTGTCGACGAGCCTTTGCTGGAACAGTCTGGTCCTTGTCGATCTTTATTCTTAGGTTCAATTAGCGCGAAAGTCGTGGTCTTTTGTGTCGAAGTTTTCAGCGCGGTGACTGGGACTTCAAAGGAATGACGAGGGGCGGTTCTCGTCGGGGACTTGGCAAATCTGGAATGAGGTTGAGAAGAGCCGTTCCGACTGGAGGAGCTCTTTATTACGTCTGCGAGTTCTGAATTCTGAATTCGCCATCAATGCCAGGAACGAGGCAGGAAAATTGGAAAACTTATCGCGATCCAATCCCGAATTACGGTACACTGGACGTTGGCCAATGCTGGACGAGATACCAGAAGTATGAGCTTATAAGCTGAGCATTAGGAAATAACCCTGAAACCATAATGAACTCATGAATGGACTTACGCCTAGCTCTTGGAGCTTCTGTTCTTCTTGCTTCTGTTCGGCGGCGTATTCCGCCCTGAGGTAGGCCTCCAAGTCACGTAGCACAGTCTCCTGTCGTTTGTCAACTTTTCGGGGAGCCTCGGATGAAGACTCCAAGTCCTCGAATTTCGTATCCTCCCGGATCTTCGTCTGCAAGACGGGCTTCTCGTGGTAAATCTTTTTAGACGTGCTTTCCGTCGACTTATCCTGGGACTCCTTATATAGACAATCGTTTGGGAAATCGAATTAAATATTAATAATTTCTATATATCGAGTACGGCTTACCTCTTTAACGTATGTCGAAGGTTCAGATGATATGTGATAAGATTTTTTGAGTTCGTCATTCATCTGATGAAAAATATCTTTAGTATCCAATCTTTTTTCGGTCTCAGTTTCATTGCCACTGTTGATCTCTTTCTGGGTGCTCAACTCCTTCTTAACAGTCGGCACTCTCTTCATCTTCTGCTCGACCCTCTTTTCTAGCGCTTCTTCAGCCCTATGCATGTTTTTGTACTTCAGTAACTGAACAACCTGAAAATGAAAAGCGATCAGCAACTGACGTCCCTCGTCAGGACTCTTTATCCTACCTCTACGTCCTTCTCCTTGAGAATGCTCTCGTCAATAGCTTCGTTTGATGCTTCAGTTTCATCCGAGCCATCCTCCACGCTCTTCTCCCTTGACTCGAACATCTTCATCATCTTAAGTTTATCTTGATCCTTTGCACTTGTCCTGACTGCACTACTGGAGTTTGACCCTGTACTCTTATCATCCTTGGACATGGCCTCGTGCGATTCTGCCATAGCTCGTAACTCATCCTCGTACTCATCCTGCTCCTCCTCCTCATCCTCACCCTCGTACTCCTCCTCGCCATCGCATCTCTCTTCATTCTCATTCTCAACCTGGTCCTCAACTTGCGACGATCCTGATCTCTGTTCGCGACTCTGTTCCTCGAGTGTGCTGTTCAGGATCGTCCTGGGCTCTGCTGGGTCCTAACGAAAAATATTCCATTCACATAGTAAATGCACGTCCAGATTGGACAATCAGGCAACCAGCATCGCTTAGGAATTTAGCTTGGTACTATATATAAAGATTTCGAGGCTATTGTTTCTTTTTGTAATTCGTAACCTTAGTTTGCTGAAGAGATTTGTTGAACCAACAAGTTGATTGGATTGGAAGCGAATGGAGGTTGGTTCGATAAATCTTTCCTTTCTACCGCGCTCTGGGATATTCTCCAGCTCGATAGGTACATACACGTGTCTCTATCCATATGCACCGTACTATCTTCATACATTCTACATGTGATCTCGGTTGCCATTACTTACTGCAGTTCCTCGCAATCCTGATGCCTCGTTCTCACTGCTTACTGTAATCAGAAAGAGAATCCGCATCCTTGAATAACTTTTCTTACTATACGTATAGCATTATATGCATAAGATATTCCTTTTTGCTACCTATAGATTATTCCGAGTTTTGGTTCGCGTCCAATTTCATATATGGATTTTACAATGACATCCTCCAATATCATTTCACGTGATATACGCTGTACTATCTGTAGATCCTTAGATATAGATAGATATTAAAGTTACATTATATACTATCCAAGCAGCAAGGAATATCTATGAAATATCTCAAAATAAAGTTTTATCCAATAACAAACATAGTTATTGTACGGATATACAATTTACAATATCTAATGGATATTGACATTTGATCAATGTTGTTTACTTGTTATCTAAATGATATCATTACAATATTTTTTCAAGGAGATTTCTATTTGTCATTTTTCTATAATTTCTAAAAAATCCAGAAAGTTATATTATACGAAAGCTGCACTCCACGAAATAGTGAGTTGCAGCAACTAGTGCGATCACGTATGATTTTGTTTCCACCGATGTCGAACGGGAGTTGAAATACATTAATTGTATAGCTATAGTTTGCTGATATATAAAGATATACAAAAGGTATGTATAGATTATTCGACTTCATCTATTTAATAAAACGATTCGTCTAATAGACAAAATGCGAAAAACAATAAGTTTAGTAGCAGCTCCCTGCACACCATTGGATACCCTCTAGAATCATGTCTAAAACCTTTGGATATGCAAAGGAACACACTTCATGTTCGTTGGATCAAGCCCGACGATCGGTTTTCATAAGATCAAATGCATCAACAATTCGCCGGTGCTCAAGGTGCCTTAGTAAAGATCACTTGCGATAGGCTTGTTTGTGTTTCTGGGGAAACGTCGAAAAAGAAATTTCAAAATGAATCGATACTGAACAGTGAGAAAGATGGAGATAGAGATATTTGTGTTTGCCTAACATAATGGAGCATAAGAAACGCTTGTATTTACTTAGCTATTGATCGCAGTTTCAAGTGCCGTAGCCAACCGAAACTCTTGGCCGGAAACCGCCGACCAATAATGAGAAGGCTCTCTAGTTACATATATATCTTTGTACGCACCCACGCACCAGAGATCTATTTGGTTTTACGTAGGAGTCCTTTCAAAGAAAATTAGCCGATAGCTAGGGTCATTATCATTTCTGGGTACCGTTTTTGAGCCCTAATCAACCTTAGCGTTGTACCTGTAGAACGGTTAGAGAGGAAATTCGATATATCGTGAGGAGTCGGCTTAAGACTGGATCGACCTTACAGCTCAGTTTACCATCGGTCAAAGTGAATCTTTTTTTTTAATGACTTTTATCGAGCTTAACTAAAAACGTAATTATTTTTTTTAGGGTCGAGAGGAGACTGATGAATTATTATGATTCTTCTGGACACCTGTTACAGACCGCGCGATATTATGGAGAATGGAACCAACGGGGTAGGTGTTTGATTAGATCCATCCAGCAAGCGCCTTGGTAATTCAATGAGACACCGTTGATGCTTCACGCGAAGTACCTGGAGTACCGAAGATGGGTCTGAGTGCTCCTTTGGCATAAGGACGAAGAAAACTCCAAGGAATATCTCGCAATAGATTATTATGCTTCTGTATACGTAAGTAACTCATACGTAAATGTCTATTGGAATATAGACCCGATAAACACAACACGATAAAACAAACACGCCTCTTGTCATTTTATTTTGACAGATTTTATGGGATATTCGAAAACGTATTGTTTCTGACATCTATAACAACCGTCCTTCTCAAGAACCCGTTGCTTAACTTGTGGGGCCGTCACGTATATCTCACAAATTTGGAATCCAACCTGGAACGTGACGTCGTCACATCAGCGAACACGAGTTCCTTTCCGTTGGATTTCACCCCTGACGTAAGTTTATATACGTAAGTTCCTCGTACTTCGGAAAAGCCATAAGAATCTTGAGAACGTCCTCCAGAATGAAAGAGAAAAGTAGGGTTAACGTATGCGCATAATTTACTTCGTGTAAAAAAAATTCAACTGCTATGAGAAATATGGTTACGTGCAGTTTTACATGTCGAGCAAAACTGACAATGGGCAAATTGATAATTTCAATATAAACCGCAAATATGGCTGTTTTGTGGAATTATTGTGGGTTCAATTGATTTTGGTAGATTCAGTAGATTTAGATTATGTTTTTGGACGTGAAGGTATACAGATGGTGCACGTTCTGATATTATTTATCGTTCACTTCGTCGAGGTCTTTAAATTCTTTCGTTAAAGCCTATCCAAAATTCGGATTCTACGTCACGCTGAATATTCGAGATCGGTATTAAGCCTTGGCTCAACGTTTAATTAACTCTTGTAAACTCTCTTTCCCTTCTTGCTCAGATCTCATTTTCTCCCGAGTAGCAAACCGGCGGTAAGACAGTAACCGGGACGAGTTACGATCGTGCCTTTCGAGCGAGGTCATCCGAGGTTTACAAGGTCACTTGAAAATCATTGAAGATGAATCGCGCAATTGACGGATGACAGTGCTGGACCAGTTATGTTGAAAAATTTACTAAGTAAATTCTCTCTCGCCAAAGTACCATCATCCCCACTTGTAATTACGCTCCTTGTGTTATCTCTAATTACTATTAGTCGTCCATAGCAATGATGCTCTTCGGCTAAAAATAATTCCTAGCAAGACTCATCGTCATTGGCGCGAATGGCTATTAATTCCGGTTGTAAGTAATTTGGAAATTGAATTATACGCAGATACCAGTGAAATAGGGTGTGAAGTAGTGAAAAGGGGACGAAAGTTATAGAGAAGAAGGGAAGCTAATATTTCACTTCCATATTGATAAGTTAAAGCTACTCGATGGGGATAAATTGGGTCGAGATCCTAAACTTGCTCTCGTGGATCCAGCAACCCCTTTTAGTTCGTTAACACCGAACAAACTTTTCCTACCTTTACATCGACGTACGTTATGGCCGGTGCATAGGTACGCGAGTCGCCGCGGCGTCGACGGGACTTATTGAACCGAATATTGGCCATAATGCATGGGCACAGTTTTCCAATATTTCATCTCGATACACGCCAACTCGCAGCTGCAGCTGCATTCGTATTTATATTGCTCCTCGATTCACCATGCAGACTATATCGATGTAAAGGGTGTTCCGAAATTACTAACAGCAAGTATAAGCCCTTGTCGCGAGTCCACTGGGACCATAAAGCCAGGAGGTCGCTATCTATCAGTGTTCCGGGTACTTTGTGCCATGGTGTTTAACTCTTTTCGGACGTATTAAAGTTGGTTATGGGTGTCGTACTGGTCGGAATTAATTTCCGTTGAAAAAGCAGTAATACATAACATGCAAGATTATGAAAAAAAAAACAAGATTTATTAATTCTTTTGACAACTTTAGTTTTAGATTAGTACGGTTTCTTGTTGTGGTGGCTGAGAGTAGACATACCACCGCAAAGGATTAATACAGTAATTTTGTTATACAAGGATCGTAAAAGGTGTTCATCTATATGCTGTGAATAGGCGCGAACGCAATAATATTTCCTATAATTATTCCGACTGATCAATTACAGGTAAAAAAATATATATACTACAGATATTACACGTATTTGTGTATATAGAAAAATTGTAAATTTCCTTCAGTGCTTGCGATATTAATAAATGTGTTGGCTTTCGGACAGGCAGGAGTCCCGAGATCCAATAAAGTCGTAGATAGCTCAGAAGCATATGTGTGTTCGCATGTGTATATAAGTGCATGTATGTTAGTCTATAGATATATATATAAGAAATTGTACATAGATTGTGGTTTGCGAGACCGGTGTCCCTCGAGTTATTGGCTTCATTTCCCTGCTGTACATTGCACCTATACAGGCATCTCTGAGTAAAACAATAAAGTACAAAAACATGTTTTTCATTACTCTAGAATTTTCCCGTTCACGGAGGACGCTTTCATTGATGAAACTTTTGACTAAAATAACGTTTGAATCGGTACTCGTATGACTTTGTGTCTTTTTATCATTTGAAATGAATAACGCTGTAATAAATTTAGTCGAATGCCCCTCCATTCTTAAATTTAACCATTATCAACTGTGGGGCTGTTATATTTTTGATAAACATCACGACTATAAATATGTTCTGTTTCGGTAATGTACATCCATCGTATCCCCTGTACCCCGAGTATCCACAGGGATCCTGGAGTTATTGGCTTCATTTCCTGTCAGCGTGTTATATACTCTACCTGATAACAGGCTAGTATAGGACTCGAGCCAAGTTCTCTCTTGCGGGATGGGTTGGTATATTGTATACGTCTCTATTCTCTCTTTAAGGCCGCCGTACAATCTCGTCTTGCTCTTATCCCCTATATACAGATATATTTCGTGTAATATTAATCAGATGACGATGTCCGGATGTTTTAAGAAATATTGTTGAAACAATCACGAACAGCAGTGATTTCGAAATTTATTTTACGATCTGATTGCTCGAGTGAAATCATTAATTTCTTTTGTGGACGTTACGTGACTGGAAAAAATATTGCACGATTGATTTTATTATTGTCACAGGCCCATAGGATCACGTAGGTTCCATTAATCAAATTGATGTAAATTAATGTATTTCAACTTTATTCACAATTCTTGTTTATGAATTATTTATTTTTTTTTTGCATTGAAAAATTAAAAATTAATTGTAGTCACGGTAGCGAGAGTTGTAGCTGAAGTAGAATAAAAGTCTACGGGCATAGTATACATTACGCAAGATACCAGCCAGGACATAAACGCAAATGCACTTGGTCGCATTAGTACAGCCATTACTGCCTCGAATGTTGTAGTTGTATAGTTGCATCCCTGCTCGTGTTTCCAGCTGCATATAATTCGAGTCATTCGTGGAAGCTCTCGTGGTTCGTTTTACAAGCCTCCCCGATTCTTTGTAATCGCGAGGAAGTTTCACGTGTGATTTTTCGCGCAAGGCAATGTAGAATGTAGGATTGAACATTTGAAGC